GTCAACTGTTGATTCTTTTGCTATAAAACAACTCTCCTATCGCCATTTAAAGAGCAAGACAAAGTGAATAAACAGTAAGCAAGAAGGATCCAATGGAGTGGTGAACTCATGGGAGTATAAAATGGTATTAACATGTATTCAGTTCACCGTCAAACAGCATATATTTATTCTGGCATATACTGCATGGTAACAAGGTTTCATTTTTGACCTCATTGCAAGGTGGAAAAAGAAATGGTGAAATAATTTCAGTGTGATACAACGAGTATACATACACTACATTTAATTACTGATCCAATAAGTTATATTCCAGGAAATAAAATAAAATTCTCAGATAAGTACTTAAACAGCAGTGAATTATAAAGTACCTCTGATAAAGTCTTTTGAAATTCCTCTGCAACATGAGGAACCAAACGAGATAACAATTCTCGTTGCCTCCACCCTGTAAAAATTTTCTCTCCAGTAATACATTTCTTTCTTCTAATTTTCCGACACTCTGACCATCTGCGGTGTGATTCGGACCTATAAAACTTCCCATAATAAAATGACAGTATTTCTCCCATGTCTTTGTGCTCTATGAATCTCTGCACCTGATAAAAATTCTTCCCAAAAATGTATAAGCCCAGAAGAAAACCATCCACTTCAGCATCACTCCAAGTGCTTCTTGATGAATCAGGAACTGGATAACAGCATTTGCTTCTAATCGACTGATTCAAATCCTCTTCAACCAACCTTGGTCCTAGATTTTCTGCCCTTGATTCTTCTCCCTGGGCCAACCCAAATTCCAAGGGTTCACCTTTGAGTTCTGAACTTTTCTTCTTTATTCTAGTACGATTCTTTTTGCTGTTTCTAGTTTCCTGGGACCTCTTTGCATTAACTGCATCATCAGGGTTAGTTGGAGATTCCAGCCCCTTATCTTCAATGTTCTTAACTTCATCAGACCATATAATTGGGACAGGTAAACCGACTAGAAAGTCATGGGAAACATCAACAACTTTTGAATCAGCAGGATTGGTCAAAAGCTTAAGCTTCTCAGCTTCTACATTCATGAGAGGAATTTCCACCTGGTACTTATCACCAACTCGGGGACTCACCTGCCGTTCTCCAAACACATTGCTTATACCAGGAGTGCCTGGATAAAATAAATGCTTAATAGATGTCTCTTTGATGCAATCACCAACATGATCTGGCTGAGCTGATTCCATCTGCCAAAGTTTGAAGAAACATAAGAACAAACACTTAGGAATGGAAAAGAATTTAAACCTTCACCATATTGCGTGGGTTTCAAAAGGCATTAGCGCCAAAGCAGTATAATGACAAACGAAACCCAGATACAGATATCTAGGACAAAGAAGAAACGACCCCCCAATGAAAAAAACATATGAGAGCATAGAATTTCAAGATCACCAAACCAAAATCAGATAACCAACCTAGATCTATATTGATATAAGATACAACACCAAATGCTATCAACCATGTCAAAACAATAAACAGAACAGAACGCTGTGTCACAAAAACAAAAGCAAAAGAAATAGCTAACGCAATTACAACAAAACCAAGACAGAAAAGCTTATGCAATTACAACAAAACCAAGAGAATATGCGATTACAAATATAAAGCCAAAGTAATAGCCAGACCAAACCTTTCAGAGCCCAAACTCCTATTCAAATTCTCAAACTAACCCATAAAATTTAGCTCGTATCAAACTTCAGAAAAAATGCAAACAATATAAGAACAATGCATAGAGTTGTCTCATAAGCGTTAAACATGGTATGCAAAAGAGTATTGAGAGAGAAAATTCAGACCTGACTAACCTCCATGGAAGAGCTTCAATGTCAAGAACCCACGTGAGAGAACCAAGCCTGGGCAAATGGGTTTTCGTGTTAAGCTTTGATTCACATCTATTACCAACCTTCACTATGTATGAAACACATCGAAACCAAGTAAAGCAATAAATAACAAGAACCAAACACAAACTGAGAGAAGGAAAGAGAAGAGAGAGAGAGAGAGTACCTGGTTCAAAAGAGTTAAACTTTCATATGGCTGTGCAAGGGTGAATTCACGGGCTCAAAGGGAAGGACAGAGAAGTAAGAATGAGAAAAATCAAAGTGTCTTTGCATACAGAGGAAGGCTAGGAGAGGAAGAGAATATGTTGTCTCGTGTCAACAGAGTTTAGTACAAGAGAAAAATGGCATCACATAGAAACTTTTCGTGAAAATAAAAATAATAAAAATACTACAAACACAAACCACAGCACATAGAGTTGAGTTGGATAGGTTTATTGCGAATGACTATCGTCTAGTGGAGTCTAACCTTTACATAGTCATGCCAGATCTAAATTTAAATTTAATGGACAATATTCGCCGAATACAAAATTTAAATAAGTTGTTCGCGAATTAATGTAAATAAGAAAAACTTTACCAATGACCCGTTACTTTAACTTGAGTATTTAATGGGATTGAATGAGACTCATATGTAATTATGATTATTTTTTTATACGAAATTAAATAATTAGAACTGTTTTTGTATCTTCATACATGCTCAAATCACATTAGAACATACATAGTAGAGGAGGAGTATGAAGTACCTTTCGACGACCCTAGGTCAATCTTATGATAGTGCTCATTTAGCAAGTGGAAGTGTGAAATGAAGAAGGGATGGAGGTGCATGTTACTGAATATATTTGGATATTAGTAACAAAATTTTCACTTTAAATAGATTAGGGTAAAAATGGAGAAATGTTACATGCAAAAAATAGTCGATCATGGACTATGATGTGTTGGCATTGCATGTTACTTTTTTATTGTGAAAAGTTGACACGTTCGTGGACCACAAATACCATCTTAGCATCTAATGCTCCCTAATAAATCATGTTCCCTCACTTCAACACAACACGGAGAAGGTTATCAAGATAATTCTCTTTGTTCTAAACAGTCACAAAAATTTTCATGGTTGATGTGACCATCACAAAGAGCAAAGAGATAGATAATATATTTTAATCCCATAAATAAGTTTGATATTTCATGAATAGGTAATGAATTCTTATCCATACACAATTCTAGCTAATTAATAGTGTGATATACAACTTTGTAGCATAATACACGACATTGTTTGCAAAGAGAATATTACATTGTTTTCAATCTATTTTCAAACAGTGTATTTATAAAAAATAACCAAAAGACGTATAGACCTAAATTAGGTTTATTCGTCAAGACGTATGTCGATCAATTCATTGTACATTAGAATAGTTTAAAATACCGTAATGTTAAAAAATAATGAAAAGAAGTTATTGGTTTGAAACTCTGAAAGATAACCTCACCCCTAATTGATTATAGATATGTTACAATATATAAAAATTCTCTCCCTAATTGATTTGGTTTATTTGTATAGATCTGTTGTAGTTCTGTTGTTTGGGGTCTTTCCCCCCAGTTCACCAAAAAAGAAAAAAAAAAATCTCAAATATCAACCCGTTGCGCTGTAACGGTGTCGTTTAGTTCACATAACACGAGAACTTCGGTACCGGTGTTACAGTTTGGTCACACGACCGCTCCAATGATGCCGGTCTCAGTAAACGGCAGTTTATGCGAGCAAACGACGTCTTCTCACTCTCCTCTCCCTCATTTCGCGGCTCTTGTCCTCCTCCATGGAAATGGAACCGATCCTAATCTCCTTTTCCAAATGGATTATCGGGTTGACCCGATCCACCACTATCCAACTTTCTAATTTTTGGTCGAATTCCACCATCTGACTGGTCACCGCCGTGATTTGAGCTTCATACTGAGAAAGTCAACGCCTTTAAAAATATTAAACAAAAACTTGTGCAAAAGATTGATTATTTAATTGCATAATATTGATTTTCCATCTGGACATTCGTGCTTCGGAGCCTGTTGAGTAAGAAATGTGCTTGCTTATTGAATTAAATAATCAACAGTGGATGGCTTTTTTGAACTTTGAGTAAGTTGGTAAGCTTAAGAAATACGAATTTACAGCCCTGGAAGCTCAAGTGGGAAGTGCATCAGAGAGAGAGAGTTCGGAGTATTTTTGAAGTATTACTGCAAGATTCAATCTTTCATTTATTTATTTATCTGGGTTCTTTGTGGGAGAGAGTTTGGAATATATATGTTAAGTTTGTGCAAAGGAAGATCGATTTGGCTTCAGTTGGATGCATGTTCCTGGAGCTTCTTCTTTATCCGGGTATGTTTTCAGTTCTGGTTGAATTACCTTGTTTTCAGCTTCATTTCTGTATCTTTCTTTTGTTAGATGCTGTTTGGCACTGGAAAAATCTGAGGAAAAGAAATGTAATTCTAAGTCTTTTAAATTGTGTTTGATGTTTTGGTTTTTGCGAATGAAATGATAGAATTAGAGCTATTCAAATGGTGGTAATGGCAATTGGTTCCTTCCTGCAGTTTTAGCAAGAGCTTTTATTTTCCTTGGTTTAAGATTTTTTGAGAGAGAATTTTAGGTATGCTCTTGCTGATTGTGAGAGAGTTATTAATTTTGCTGAAATCTAAGTTGCAAAAGCTTGACTCTGATTCATGTTGTATGATATATCATATACCCATTTCTGCATTATTTGAGTTTCAGCTTCACCCTGAATTTTGGGTTTTCTATGTTCTGATTTTTAAATTTGTCAAGACAGAAATGCTCGACTTACTGAATCATGTATCCCTTTTGAGTATGAACTGTATGATAACTTGGTGCAGAGGCTTGTGGTGAATTTTAGTTATTAAGTTCAGATCATTTCATAATCACTATGATTTGGTTTTTTTCTTTTTGACTAGGTTGATGAACTGAGAAAAGAAAGGATCAGATTGGTGTTTGGTTAGAAGGAAAGCTGAATTGTTGTATTTTAATAAGGATGGGGAGGTCATGCCATCCCAAATGTAGGCTGGGTAGATTAATGAGTTGGCTTCAGATTGTATGGGAGGCCTTGTTATAATTTTCAGCATATGTAGTCTCTTCAAGTTCTACTCTGCAGGGTTTTTCTTGCACAATGAGGACATATGCCGACACTTTTATGGCGTCAAAGAGCATACGAAGGGTTCGACCTAAAAGCTTTGTCTGATCGAGTAGGGGAAGTGCTAAATAGACTGGAAAGCTTACAAGAAAAGCTTGAATCAGCTGTGCAGCAAATGGAGAAGAACAAAGTAGACTTGCATACAACTAATATTACAAAATTGGAGTACAAGAAGTATCTGGAGGAGGAAGTAATCAGGCCTCTTTATAGTGCTCACATTTCTCTGAGACTGATTCGGTTACCTAAGCCCGAAGGTATTAGAAACTCTACGATGAAAGAGGAGCCTTTGATTAACACTTTTATGATTGAAGAGATAAGGAAGTATATAACACCAAAGCAGAGTAGAGTTGGGAAGATTACTATATATGGTACAGAGAGGATATTCAATACAATTGGACATGCCTGTGTGTTATATAAGAAAGAGCTGGAAGAGTACATGAGCTATGACATTGGGTCTTATTGTAAAGACGATTGGAACTTAGCACAGAAGCTGATGCTTAACGGTTGTGATCCTTTGCCCCGAAGGCGGTGCTTGACAAGGGCCTCCATGGTTTACCAGAAGCCTTACCCAATCAATGAGTCTCTGTGGAGATTGCCAGATGATAGAAATGTGAGGTGGAGCAAATATCTGTGCAGGAACTTTAAGTGCTTGATGGGCAATAACAGGAGGGGTTATTCTAAGTGTGTCGGGTGTTTTGAAATGGAGAAGGAAAAACTTAAATGGGTTACAAACAGCTCCCTTCCCATTGATTTTCTGATCAGTGATGTGTTGGCTATTAAGCCGGGGGAGATAAGGATTGGTCTTGACTTTGGTATTGGTACAGGAACCTTTGCTGCAAGGATGAGGGAACATAATGTTACAATAGTCTCTACTGCTCTTAACCTTGGAGCTCCTTTCAATGAGATGATTGCGCTGAGAGGTTTGATCCCATTGCACCTAACATTGAATCAACGGCTACCATTCTTTGATAACATAATGGACATGATTCATACCACTGGGTTTCTGGATGGCTGGATTGACCTGCAATTGCTGGATTTTATCCTGTTCGATTGGGATCGAATTCTGAGGCCAGGCGGGTTGTTATGGATTGACCGGTTCTTCTGTCAAAGAAAGGATTTGGATGTCTTCATGTACATGTTTCTGCAGCTGAGATACAAGAAGCACAAGTGGGCTATTTCTCCTAAATCAAAGGATGAGGTCTACTTTTCTGCACTGTTGGAGAAACCTCCAAGAGCAATATGATCATATTGTAAGAAACTTTCTTCTTCTTGGAATGTCACACTTACCTATAGTTTACTAACATACATGTTTGGAAGGCCCCAAAGGCTCCAATCACATTTGGCGGTACTGAGAATAGCTTTTCACTTAAATGTGACTGTCTTTGTTTTCCTGATCCACTTTTGGCTAAGAACTTAAATTATGATTTGATGACATCTCCACCTAAATGGCCATATGCCCACAAACACATTTTCATTTAATTTTCATATTCTACTTTATAAAGTTTGAATTCTTTAGAGATTTACAGGGGTTTCCTTGCAATTAATGTGTAAATCAGAGCTAGCTCTCAATTGTTGAACTTAAGATGTTCATGAATAATTTTATTTGTTATAATTTAAGTGTATATTTATTGATACTATTTCTTAAATTGAGGAAATATCAATAATGTTGTCCACCCATATTATAACACGCATTGTATGAACTATTCCAAGTTACCCCTTTAAACGAAGTATCCCACAGAGTCTATCGATATTGGTCTTTGCTTTTTTGTTTTGGGCCTTTGGAGCTGGTATGTGTTACGTTTGAGGCTTTCAACTAATTTTGGCAACAAAAGAAAGAAAAAAGATTAGGCTTTCAATTTTCAAGCACTAATATCACCTATCAACCTGTCAATGAGAATTTTATTTTATTTTTTAAAACCAAAACTTGATCATATAGAGAATAAAAGGAATCAAAGCAAAGTTGGACATGGCCTACAAAAAGAGGGAAAAGTACACAATGTGTTTTGTTCTCTTAATTAAGGTCCTCAAAAGAGTTCCAAGTATATAGGATTTTGCAGGATCAATCCTGTAAAAATGTATCATGGGTTTGTGCCAATTTGCATTTGTTTATTACCATAACATTTTTTGATACGGCCCAAAATATTGATGGTGCACTATAGTTAACCTAATAATTAATTCCCCAAAGCCTAGATTGTTTAATAATGGAAGAACATTTGTACATCTTGGTTTATATTTTATTCAAGCATATCTACTTTATAGACCTAAACCATGCTCTTATTTATATAAAAAAAATGTTGAAAGCAAGCTACCATATCAATAAGGCCCAAAATTATTCTCTCACTAAAGATTAGGTTTGCACTATTAAATTATTCTTTATTAATGGCTCATTTTGGAGTGATTTGGAATAAGTCATAATCACTTTTGGGGAGAAACATCTCCATGTGCTTCTTCATATAATCATTTTAAGTGATTATAGGCAAAATCACCTCCTATGTGCTTCTCCATAAAATCACTTAAAACCACTTAAATTGATGATATGGAGAAGTGATTCTCCATATAGAAGTGTTTTTTGCCCTATATATCCAGAAGGATAATGTTTCCTTCTTGCCTATAAGGAGGAACTCCTCCTTGCCTGCTGATGTGGCTCAACCACATTCCGACACGTGTCTATCTTGTTAAGAATAATTAAAGTGAAAAATAAATGCACCTTTGAGAAAAAGAAAAAAAAAAAAAAAAACAGTGTTAGTTTGTGGTTGAGTCACATTAGTGGGTAAAGAGGAGTTCCTCCTTATGGGCAAGGATTATCCTATCCAAAATCACTCACAAATGATCCTAAAAGTTAATGATTAAGGGTTAATCATTATATAATTGCATAAATTAAAAGTAGGTCCTCCTCTAAAATAAGTCATATATTGGCCCTCATATGCTAAAATGGGGAAAGGAACAATGAATGTTGTCTTTTGCACCCCCATTATAGTTAAGCACAATACAAAATGTAAAAGTAAGCATGTTTGTGGATGGTTTTGCTAATAAATCCGTACTTGGTTTTGAATTCAAACTTCCATATTAGCTACTCCTTCACTGTCCTCACTACTGTTTATGTGTGTGGTCCTTCCTATTTCTTATAGGATCCGAGCAAATATTTGTTTAGTTGGTTGGTGGAATGGAGTCTTTTTTAGAAGCTTTTGGAGGAGTTTCGATCTGTAAATGCTTCATTTAGCTTACAAAATTCTTTGATTAATTATAGTCAAATGAAACCACATAAGACCAAATACTTATCAATACATGCATATATAATGTTTGTAAGAATATATATTAAATTAATCTTTAAATCTAATTAAGGATTACTCCAAAACCAAAATGTTATTAGTCTGCTGATTAGAGATTAATTTAGGGCCTGGTTAGGTCTTATTAGCATCTTATCTTATCTATAAAGCAAGCTGAACTACGTTAAAGGAAATGCTTTGCCTGCTTGTCACCAATTTGAGTAACAAACTCATAGTAATTAAACCTAATGAATGAGCTAATCAAACACTAAAAGGTTACTAATCAGTTCTTTTTAGGTAGTTTTTGGTTGGATCCATCCTTGAACATGAAACGTGCACAAATGTCATCCACTCATCTGAATACGGTACGAATTACGAGACACTTTAGGCTTAATTAATCCGGATTATTGTTAAGAGGTTTCGTGGGGACCATTGTACTCTACAAATGGCTTTAGCCTTTCTACTGTTTACCTTAATTTTTTTTATCAATATCATCTAATACGTATTTCTTTTGAATGTAATTAATTGCTAATTAGGTCAATTTAACTACTTGAAAAGCTTTAGGCCATGTTAAACTCTAATTTGACTATCATAATTTTGGACCAGTTGGATTCGATATTGACTATTTTAATTCATATATCTTGGCTGCATCGATTTTATTAGTGAAAATCCATAACATGTCACCATTTATAAAATCGCATTTCTTTTCTTCTTAATTTTTTATTCATTTATAATACTAGGTAGGGTACAATCTAGACTAAATCACTTGACACAATTAATCTATACTAAACATCATGACATGTGACGTCCACCCATACGTATATACACACACATACATAAGCATCTATAAAGACGTGTAAGTGTGCGTTCTGATTCAGAGCAACGTGTCGGTGTCAGAAAAGATCAATCTTTACTCCAAAATCAAGTTGTGTGGATCGACCAATATGGTAGATGAACAAGATGGGTTGCTGCCAATTGCAAACGTGGGTCGCATCATGAAGCAAATTCTTCCCCAAAGAGCCAAAATTTCCAAGGAAGCCAAACAAAGAATGCAAGAGTGTGCAACTGAGTTTCTAAGTTTTGTGACGGCTGAGGCGTCTGACAAGTGTCACAAGGAGAATCGCAAGACCGTGAATGGAGATGACATCTGTTGGGCTCTGAGTGCTCTAGGTTTTGATAACTATGCCCAGGCTACTATAAGGTACTTGCATAAATATAGGGAAGCTGAGAGAGACAAAGCTGCGGCAAATGCTAACAACAACAACCAAAACAAGCAGCAGATATTATTATCATGAGCAGGGGCCAAGATATGAACGATATCGGAGATCGAGCAGCAAGTATCTACATGGCAAGTGAACAAGGCCTGCAGGTAGGGGAGCAAACCCAAACTCCAGATTTGGAGTTTCGGATGCTTGAAAAAGGTGACGGCACCAAGCCATCTGTTGATCAAGAACATAATTTGTTATCAAATAATGTTTGATATGAACTTAGTTACTTGCTAGTCTGAGGTGAAGTTGTTCTTTCTCCTCAATATTTCATGCTTTCTTTGATTTCCTTGTGTATTTTCCGTTTTATGAGAAGAACCGTGTATATACTTGTGTTTTAATTAGCTGGGGTATTATGGGTTTAGGGTTTATAATTAATTAACAGATCAGAGTGTTTATGTGATGGGTTTTACAGATCATAATGTTAAATCATAATGACATGCACAACCAATCTGAAGGAGATCTTCGAACTCTATTTTCTCTTCAGAGATTTTCCCAGATATAATTTAGAGAAAAAGATCTGAAAATTTAAAGTAGCTGAAATCTTTTTTTTTCTTTTTCCGGTTCTTGATCCGAGCATTAATATTCATCTCCCATGTCTTTCTGGAGAAATCACAGAAGTGCAACAACAGAGAATATGTATGTGATATATAGCCTTAGCCAGCAACTTTCCAACAGTTTTTAGCAACCATAATGCTGCTTGGATATTAATTTAAGACTCAAATACGAATGAATTTCCTTCATATAGTCATATAGTAAATTAATAATTAACGTACTAGGTTTAGGGTTGCTTAACCCTAGAATTAGGGACCACTATAACATGAATTACCGTGAAAGCCCAGTAGAATCTCAGGCATGCTTATAGTTAGTTTACTATAGTCTTATGGATTAGGGTAATCTTCCCGTTAAAGATTAGTGACTAATAAAACTCGAAGTTGTCAGAGTTAGGGTTAAACATGCAACCTAGGGTTTCTATAATAATTTCTCTTCGTAGGGGACCACTTTTCAACCATCACAAACTCTCTCTCTCTCTCTCTCTCTCTCTCTCTCTCTCCATTCTAATTAAGAAGTAAAGATCTTAATTACATAAGATCTGCAAAAGAAAAAAACAATTGTTTCCCCATTAAAGCAATGATCGATAGTCTTATACTTGGGGAGGAGGGAGGAGGGGAGGGAGAATTGAGAAACAAAAGCTAATTAAACCATTACTATATAGTGCTATGTGTGATCATTTTTATTGATAGGATAATTTCAAAAACCTTAAACTTTAGGTCACCGATGCTCTACTCTACCATTTGAGGCTCTTTAATTATGGGATTGTTTTGAAATGCTCAAATATTTGGGAACAATTTGCCCAATTCAGTACTATGTTATGGTTATTTATTTATTTATATAGAATATATAATATCGAAATCTTCAAAATTATGGGACCAAGACCAACAATACTATGAGGAACACTATTTCATGGTTTTCTTCTTTGTATATAATAAATGTCGGTGATTACAGGTAAAAAAAAGCTGCTTCCATGAACTCCGACCATGGAATCACGGCATCGAGCTTCATAATTAACCTTCTCAATTAATTACATGATCAGATGGCACTTTGGCAACAGTGAATTAACATTCCAATCTATAATAATTAATTGATTGCTAATATAATAGCAAAGCAGCCATTCTTCTTTATTTGAGCACCCATTTTCCATGACAAAGGACTAACAAGAGATCATGGGGTTGTCTATGTGAATTGTGTGAGTTGAAGCCGCTCGATTACCTAAAAAAAAGTGACGAGATGTTAATGGTCCTCGTTGGTAATCATTTCATTTTTAATTTTTAACTTCCATAAGGGGTGGAGAAATGACGGTCGGAACGGAAGGTTGTGGTTGAAATGCACACGAAACAAAAACAATTTTAATTCTTTTCTAGTTTTTGTTTCATTCATTCCCCTTCACAGACAATTTGCACAATTTTAAGCATTTTCATGGTTTATCTCTAGCCTAATGGCTACACATAAAAGTGTTTCTTGAATAGATCTGTGAAATCTCTCACAAAGTCCAAGAAAATAATCGGAGGCTACCCCATTCAGAAAATATAATAGGGTCATTTCCTCATTTCTTCCGCATTTGATATCCATCCGGTAAGGCCAAACAACAGAAGCATAAACGGTTGCCAAAAGGAGAATTAAAAAAAACCAATGGAATGGATAAAAATGCTCAAGTAATTGGATTAACAAAAGCTTCCACATATCCCCAACCATCATCAACATCAGGTCCTACCCAATAACCAGATATGATCATGTACCTACAAGAATCTACATTGATACAACAATACATTCTTTCAAAATGAGGTTTTGACGGGGTTAAAAGATGATCTTGACAACTCCGATTCAAAGACGATATGCCCGTATTTGTCCTGCAGGAGGCAGAAGGCTTTGCAGCTGCAAATGTAATTCATACAGTTAGCTTAAACAGAGCAAGCAGGAACAATATGGTTGAGAGTTCCATGAAAATATGACTGAAGAATAGCATCTTGATAGGCTAAGGCTTATTCTGTTTACCATGAAAAATGGAATGCCTTTAAAGTATTAAAAGAAGAGACTTTGAGTTTAAATTCTTTTCTATTCTTTCATGATCTGTTGTATTCAATTGAGATATATTATCAAAAGAAAAGGGAGCTTACTAGTACCTTGAAGAGATTCTAACTTGCTGAAAAATCAGCAAACTTGGGCTGAAGTTACCCTTCACACTGGACTCATGTTGGAACACCCCAACCTGACATACGATTTGGAACCTTGAGAGGTTCTAGTAATTCAAATACATCCTCAGCCTAATGCTATTATGCAATTGATCTCTAATGCTCATATTTTTGCTACTTTTTTCTACACCTAACTAACCATGTGATTTGACTAGCGAAAAGTACAATTTTAGGATAACAATGAATACACAATGAAGATCAACATATTGCATTCTCCTCTCAAAAAGTACTCAAGGACTGCATAGATTCAATAGAATATCAAGTTTTGGATTCTCTAGATTTGAGGAACAGAGGAATATTTAGGTTTCTTGTCTTGCAAAAATTTGGTTTGTACATTGGTAGTCCTACGAGTTAATGACAGATTTTGGGTTTATTTGTTCCTTCCATCTCTTCCTCTGTTATTTTTTCTTCTATCCATTCTATCAAGCAACATAAAAACTAAAGGCTACACATTTTGAAAATCCTTTCATAACATCTTTTAACTTCTTACTTACTCATTGGCTTAAGTCTCTTCCTCTGCTATTTATAAGGCAAAATATATTGTACACTCCTCTAATGAATGGAAATTATTATCAAATAATTAAAAGACAACCAATTCAGGGTATGCACAAAATCTTTCAAACTTGGGTTGAGTACCACAATTACAAGGTAGGTCTGGTTTCTTGACTTAAAAAAAAAGGAGGTAGTTTTGGTTTCAGCTATAACTAGGCTGCTAGACCAAAGTTCATGAGAATATGCTGTCAGGCTCAGGCGGAATAAAATTACACTGAAAACCATATCTAAGTAAGCTCAAGCATGGTTCAAGTTTTGCTAATTACCAATGTTCGAAATACATGAAATGAGAGAGAGAGAGAGGAGAGAGAGAGAGGCAGCGTTTTTCTTTAAAAGGAAAAAAAAAAAAAAAAAAAAAAATTAGACCCGCCCCAGGCCGCCTAGGCGGGCGATTTTTAATATCTTATGAAACCTAATCATATCCAAGTATAACAGTAAGCATAACTGGCAATTGAGAAAAGAGATTGAAGAGAAAACTGTTTCTGAAATTGGTTGGCTTGAAAGTCCAACAAAAACTGATTTTCTCGGAGCTGTTTCCTGGAGTTTAATAATAACAACAAAAAGCATCGATAAAAAAAAATATATATATTTTTGGTCAAAGCATCAATAAAAAAGATTGGAACACAAATTATTTTTTCAAATCCCCAAAGCATTTTTCCCTCTCCTGCTTTCAAATCCCAAGTTTTCTAAGACTGTTTCAGCAGCAGAAGGATAAATGCTAGAGTTTTTTTGTTGACGACAAGTTTGGTAAATGTGAACTTACCTTTGTGAACCAATGTGAAGCTGAGAGAGGTACAGAGAGGGTCATGGACAGAAGGCACGCCATTGAAGCTTTCAACTTTGAGTCTCTTTCTTCTTTCCTTTCTACAGCTCAGTGTCAGTACCGGGCAGTAATAAACAACTCTCAACGGTGTCGTTTCTTTTAAAGTTTCGCCCTAATATTTCCGAACTGTAATTACCAAACCCAACCCGACCCAAATACGGATCAAGCTCATTCGGAGGCCCATTCACAAGTAAAAGCCCGTAGCATGAATTCCAAGCCTAAAGAAGAAGTATGGGCCCGAAGGTTCAACAATGAAGGGTAATTCTATAGTGAGGGCTTAATATATGGCATTTAGGAAAGATCATATCTCTTAACTGTTGGATCAAGTTAATTAATTTGATCAAACGGCTAATCAATTTAATCCAACGGCTAAGAGATATAACCTCACTTAAGGGCCATATAATAGGCCCTCACTATAGAATTCTTGCAACAATGAAGGCCTTCGATTTTTTATTTTTTTTATTTTTAATACAAGTAATATTGGTGAAGGGGGCCCCTTTTTTTTTCTTTTTTTTTATAAAATAAATAGTATAGCCGGGCGGCTATACTACGATTTTTTTAAAAATGGTATAGCCGGCTATACTTATTTTGACACTTGGCTCCTAATCGATAGAGGTGCTTTTTAAAAAAAAAATAGTACCGCCGCACGGCTATACTCCTTGTTTTCAAATTTTTTAAAAAGAAGACTTGTGTTGACACGTGGCGCCTAATTGATGGGGGTGCTCTGTTTTTATATTAAAAAATCGTACAGCGGAACGGCTATATTAAAATGTATAGCCGCACGGCTATACTATTTTACACATGGGCTGTGCAGTTGCTCATGTTTTTCAGTAAATAGTATAGCCGTTCGGCTATATTCGATTTTTTTGTAATTTTTTTTTAAACAGTATAGCCGGTCGGGCTGTACCGTTATTATTATATTATATATAAATTGTCTTTAATAAATAGTATAGACGAGCGGTTGTAGTATTTTACATATATATATATATATGTATGTGTGTGTACTTACATATTTTTCAATAATACATTCATGTACTTACGCAAACATATAATAGTCGTATTGTACATGTACGTACGTATTTCTAATGTTTTATACACGTAATTTTACAAAATTTTCAGTAAGACAGAAAATTCACGTATTATACAAATAATTCTCAAATATTATTGAATAAGAATAACATATGATATAAAAATTATATTAAAATATCATATAGTGGAAAATTAATATCTACTTTGGATATGTTGAAACTAGCAAATTAATATTTATTAGGTACAAACTAATGGGGATTCTTTCACAAGACCTTGAGTGCAGGGATGCCAATATCTCATTTCGCATTCATCTTGTGTTCCAGTTGCATCAAGCTGCATTTTGTATATGCGCCAAGGGAAATGTAGGGAAGTTCTTGCAACCTATCTTTTTTTCATTTCTTGAATGCAGGCCGCAGTGGAGGGAAGAATATAACATATGCAGACTCCATACTTTTCTCATGATTTATTTTCTCTGTCCCTTCCATTTTTAACGGGGAAACTAACATAACAAGTGTGGGAGTTGGAGTCTTGACAACGGGCTAGACTGAAGTTTTCTTTTTGTGAGCTTTTAGAACGCATTTTATTTCTTGATATTATTTTAAGTGTGTAAGGAATTGTTGGCTTGTGGCTGGAATTGTTTGGGGAATTTTATTTTTATTCCATTGAACTAATTGATTTTCCATTTATTCTCTTGGGGGTTGATTGATTTTCTAAAATAAAATTAGAAAGATAGAGACCTTATTGAAGGCTTATGATATAAAGAGGGCCCAAAAAGCACATTTAAATTTTTTTGTTTCGGAAAGGTTAAGTGATCCACGTTTTAGGACCAAGAGGCCTAACCCCTCACCCACAATCCCCTCATTATTGCCTTTCCGCCAATAATAAACTAAAAATTATACGAAGAAGAAATAAATAAAAGGTCAAACTAATCCCTACCTCCAAAGAAAATTTAAAAAGTAAAAAGGGATACTGCTAAATCACAAGATCATTGTCAAGGCTCAGAATTTTTTTTCATCCACTCAAACTCAAAGTCTTAAATCGACTGATTTGACAACAGGTAAAATTCTCTTATTCTACAATAATCGTACAGGATGATCGTTTGGAGTATCTTTCCGAAGCAAAACAAAAAACTTCAAGGGAAACACCGAGATAAATTTACCTGAAACCAGATGAAGAGTGTCAGTACAACGACTAATTAAATTTGCCTCTCCAACTGTTTAGACACCAGTTGCAGTGTATGAAACTAAATGTCCCTCACAAACCCTATGGGGCAAGAACAAGAAATTGCCAAGAAACCCAAATATGACGGCGAATTTTATACATGAAGGACATACATTTCAGTATGAGAAGGTACAGGTTGCACTTCGTTTGAGCTCCTCTTCGACTTGTGCTTCGATTTCTATCCCGCTTCTTACTTCTGAAAACCAGTCAAAGTTTGGCATTAATACAAAACAAAAGGGCACCAGATTAAATGTGACTATTTCTAGATAAGGAATAGCATACTCGTCATGTGAACTAAGACCCCAACAAGATTTCAGTTTTCGGTTGATGTGCTTGAGATCCTTGTCTGAAGGAAACTTGTATTTTCTTGCCTGCATATACATTAGCCAGGAAGAAAAGCAGATTGGAAAATGAAACCAAAAAGTTATCAGATAAAATTTTTCAAAATCCTGAACTTAATCATCTAGCTTTATGATAAATAATTTTCACAAATGTTTGTGCTGTATCACAGAGTCAATGGAGTTTGCATCACACTTGTATGTAGATTGCAACGAATTTATACCCAAGAATCTATTGCATTAAGGAATTCAATTAGCTCTGAAACGGTATGTTCAGAACTCTGACGAGAGAGAATGCTCCTCAGGTATCTGAAAATGTGCATACATGAAAGAAGGTTTATTAGTATTGTCCAACAAAAAACACCCCCTCCCCATCCCAACAATTTAATGTCAATATGTAAACAATTCCACTTGAGCAGCCAATAGGGAAGTTGGGGGGAAGGCAGAAGTAGAACTATACAGGAAAAAGAAAAATAAAAACAATAGGAAACCTAAAGTTCGAATCAGAACCTCTCAAAGTCAACAACTTTGTGCACCTGATTTGCGCCACGCAAAGCAGCCAATGCCAACTGCATCAAATTAAGATGGGCAAGTTAAAGATGACGTATATATTATCCATGAGATATATATAAAAGTTGAACCACGATCCAAAATCCAAACTCTACCCAGCATGGTGAACTTCAGTAAAGGCCACATTATTTTTCTTATCTTTCGGTTGGGCTCTATCTCACTATATAAGAAATGACCAACTTCTCTTCCAACTCATAAAATTCATTAAATGCTGCTCCTAACACCCTAGTAACTCTCCAACCAAATCCTAATACTCAAACCTAAAATGGGAAAAGTATTTCGATTCTTTAGCGAAACTTTCCAATTAAGTTGCAAACTTATGTTTGATATTTAAAATTAATGACCAAATTCTGAGCTTGAATGGCTAGAAGCTTGAATGGCAAATCGTACCTGCCCAGGAGGGAATAGAAGTGGTGCATCCGTGAGCATGATTTTATCCACTTCCATCTTTGCAGCATGAAGCAAATTCTACAAAACATTCCATCAAAAAAATATTTAGCTGGTTAAGCAAAAGCCAGATTACCCTCATCAAAAGAACTACATTTTCCACTAAATGGGAAATTCTTAATTTGCAACCATTATATTGCACCCCAAGGAAAAACGTTACACTCAAAGCTGATTAGTGATATTTGGCTCATGTGCAGGGGAGTGGGACTTTTGGAGTTCTTCCTTTGACAGAAGTGAACTGACATAGTACTACCAATATCAATAAATTCCTTGAAAATTTTGTTTTTTTCTGTTATGTACATAATGACACAAGAACCAAATGAAACAGAATTATTCATTTAATTAAAAGACTTCCTCAGTGAATTACTTATAGTTTAAATTTATTAAATCATGCAGAACGATACATTTCTTGTGACTGGCTATTGGTTATTTAAAATGATTGCAGCAACTCAACAAAGAAAGACTCTTAAAGATTCAGTTGAATAGATGCCATGTAACAGAACACGCTATTCAGCCATATACAATTAAAACAACGCCAAACAATTACCTGCAGAATTTGGAGTCGATCATCGTTTATTCCACAGAATTCCTAGAAATGAACACTAATTGTCACCAAGTATATGCAAGGAACTTCTTAAAAAAATTGAAATGCATACGAAAATAAAATATTAAAGATGCGCTAGAGAAAACCAAAAGAAATTTTAAGAAGCATCCCAAAAGAGTAGGAAATAGTAAAGTCAAAGCATCCTCGCAGAGCATTTTGTTGGGGAGGGAAGATATGCGGAAAATTTTACCTCCATATCATCAATAAAACCTTCAATTGAGCGATATGGTGCATAAACAATAAGATCAAATTCCAAACTCTGCACAATAAAGGTATAGTGTTATATTAAACAAATAAAACAGAAACGAAGTAGAAACAACAAAGAAATGTGTGGCACATCCATGCCTGATAAACTATCATCTCATTATTGAGTATCATTTGATGATCCTGTGAGATCCCCTTACCAAGCTCCTCTGCTGATACATGGTTTTCTTCTATTTTACACGCCGCATATATACAGGTTAACCTGTGAACAAGTCAATTAATTCAATTTAAAACATCCACAAGCAATTAGGTAGATGAAATGAATTGTTGCAATCATATAAGCTTAGGTAAATAAATATGAGAATAATGACCCGATTTTCTGGTGTCTCAACATCTTAGTGAATTTCTACCTAGAAGAATCAAATTTCACATAGAATCACATATGCATTGACAACTGACAGATATATTAAATAGATATAAGCCAACCTTACATTATATTTTTTGGATGATGTTGCATCACCGACCATTGTAGATAAAACCTTTTGAAATATATAAGAGCTGTTGCCTGCAAATGAAACCAATTAGACAAGGATAGTGCTCAAACTGATCAAGTTTTTGTAGTTCTCATGCTTCCTAAACTATTACCACTTCTTTTCTTCTGTCAAAATGGGAAGCCACATACCTGAACTTTATGAGGGAAGTGAAAGTTTTTGCACACTTCTTGAAGTTTATTTTCATAAAATACTCGCATAAACTGCTCCTCTTCAATGCTAATGGGTTTTGGACGAGAATGCTTGTCAGCTGTATTTAAAGACCAAAAAGTAAAGCAATTGAAAACCAGTTAAATATTCCGAAGCAGAAAAACAAAAATTAACTAAAGAGAAAACATAAAAAAAAAAAAAAAAAAAAAAAACTCCTTTACATTTGTGCCTCATGTGTGTGTGTGTGTGTGTGGTGATAGGGAGTGGGAGCTCAAAAGAGCATTACCATTATCTTTTGCAATAACTTGAGGTTCAGGGTATGATATTGTGCCATCAACATCTACTTCCATTAGTGTTGCTCCATACTTCACAAGAAATTATTTGTTATAAGTAATTGAAAACAATCCAAGCCGAATTTCATAAAAAATAACTCATTTCCTATGGGACAAAACGCAAACATCTTCGACAACAAATACTTGAAAGAACATACAAAAACCTAAGAAGTAGTAGAAAAGGTATACTGTTAACCTTAAATAACCAATTAGAGACATTGCCTTAATTTCAACACATCCTGTGCTAGTCTGCATAGCTAGATAACATGTCCATGAATTATCTATGAAGGTATACTCGATGCACTGGTATATATTTCCTCATTCCAACAAAAAAGCTCAATACGCTGAAGAATAAATATGCCAGAAAAAACAAATAAATATAAACAAAGCATAGTGGGTGAGATGTTCACAAAGCGGACCAAACAACAATAAAACAAATTTGCATGAAGTTACTAATGACTAGTTTTAATTAAAGAACAACTAACTTGCATTGACTAATGAAGCAAGACTCTGTACATACCTTCTCCAATGTTTGTATTGCTCTTTGATTAGCAGCCTTGTATTTACCGACCTATATCAGAGAAAATGAAACTAATAAGCACATACGAAATTTCAATTCAACTTCAAAGTATTGCAAACATTAAAGTCCTAACTCAAATAAGCCTTAAACCAAAACAAAAAAACGCTTTTTCCTTTAATTTCATCTAAATTGCTCCATTTTATAAGTTGGAAACCACATTCATTGTTTCCCCGAGCAATCAAATAAAGCATGAGGCAAGAACACCTAATAACGAAGATTACAAATGCAATTTAATTAAAACAAAACACAAAACATTTTAGTTTAGTTAAACTAAAAAACAACTGTAACAATGATAAAAGAAACTCTATTTTCCTTCATTCCCTCAGCATCCAAACAGGCCCTAACTGAACATAAAAATCAGAAAAGCAAAGACAATATGGAGGTGAAATTACCAGTTCTTCAGGCGTAAAGATCCACTTGGCTCGGTGAGTCGAGGTCTGGAAATCGGCCATGTCGACTCGGAAACCCTAGCTCAGGTGCTTGCAGAAACAGTTACACACAATAACTGAAATCAGTGTGAGCGTCTAAGGAAGAAGCTTTAGGTTTTGTTCTATCCACCAAAAAAAAAAGGCTTTAGGTTTTGGACCTCTTCCTTTTTTGCGTCATAGGTAAGGTTTATGGATGGATTTATATACCAACGACATGTCGTTTATGTTTGTTCTCCGTGGAGCACTTGTACAAAACGGGGCTCCACTTTTTTTCCCGCCTATATACATTTTCTCGCCGATTTATTTTTGTTTTACAATGTGACGCGGAGACTTGTAAAATATAAAAGGGAACCACCACCATCTCTAGTGCATCAAGGCAAAAGCAAAAAGCCCAAAAATTGGGTTTTGGGTTTTTTAGCTCCAAATTTTGAGACGCTGAGCATATTGGACGGAACCAGAGAAGGACTGCTGAGCCCAATTTTCGCAGCCTACTTGCCCATGTGTAGACCCAAATATGTGTGGAGCCCAGCCCACTGGACTCAGGCTGAGCTAACCACCAGTTACGCGCCCAGCTTTCTCAATATTAAGGGTCCGGATCATTTGGCTGTGAGCTCAAACCAACGGATTTCAATTTCAATGTAAGCTGCGAAGGGGGGGTATTAGCCTTTTTTTTTCTTTTCTTTTTTTAACAGAGAATCCATTGAAAATTATTGTCGGCAGCGAGATCGAACTTAGGCTTTAATAGCGAAGAAAACGATATTTGCCAACTCAACCAACACTCGTTGGCTGAACACTTCTTTAATTGATGGTAAAATAACTCTTTCAGAAAAATATACTTACAAAAAAACCAACAACTACTCGTGAGATTGGTACATTTTGCCAGAGATCCTATCAGAAGCTCGTCCTTCCAAAAGCTCCACCTTTTGCCAAAGACCTGCTTTTTGAAACCCATCTTTTCAAAAGATATATACTTGTAACAGATTTTGCACGAAACAGACTTTTGTACAATCCACTTCCTACTTCTCTTGAACTGGAAATTCAGAACAAATTCCCAAAAAATTTAACCTTTTCTTCCACTATTACTTTGACCAACCCTATGAATAGACCGCAATTGAGCTTGAGACCATGGCCATAATTAAATTCCATTTGGACGAGACATACTTTGGTAAAGTAAGGATCTTTGCTGAAAATCTCTTATAATCAGGGTCTCTTCTTGTCCTATACCAACATGATCAAATTACTTGAAGAAATTGACAAGTTGGTTGGTATGAAATTGAAATGTGACAATGATTTAAGAATCTGCCTACTCACTTTGATCTCATAGCTTTTGGCTTTAAAAACCAATTAGGTGCACTTCTTATGCACTACGCAATTCACATTTTTGTAAAAGGTTCTCAAAATTGGGACCTCACACTCACTGCATTGAGCAATTCACATGCCTTGTTGCAGTCGAGCTTTTCTCTTTTTCCTTCTTTCTTTCTGTGCACAAGGACCCAAGTGCCTCTGTGCCAATTTGATTCCATGGCTTTGTCTACCCAATTTAAGCTCGACTGAGACATTGGGAAGCACCAAGCTTTTCAAAATGCATCATGCATGCATCTGGCCCATTCCTTTATTTTTTAGCGAGTGAATAATTTTTTGGCATACTTGGGTGTAAAAATGCCTATATATTGTCTTTGTCTTTTGAGTAATCCATTTACATAAAGTTTGTGGCACTTTTTTTTAAAATGTTATTGTGTGTTGAGAGAATTGATCGTCTTTTCGCCTTAACTAACAAGCTATTAATATAAATTAAAATTCTTCGCATTTAATGCAAATTTTCACATGAAAACATTCTCTTTGATGTGTGGAGTTATAATGGGATTGAGTCAATATCGTTTTAACGATAAAATTTTATTGTTTTTCATTATAATTGCCTTTCAAACTAACCAAAAATAATCTGAAAATAAATACAATGTTGAGAGAGTAAATAAGAATCCAATTCTCATCATAATTGTACAGAATAATAAAGCACATCATATTATGAATCGTAGCTTAGTGAAAAAAAAAAAAAAAAAAATTTTTGCTATATAAAGAAATATATTGACATTCATAATGGATGAAAGCGTGAGTAAAAACCCCAAGGATAAAAGCGCATGGGTTAATCAGATTACCCAGTGGTAAAACTTTCTCTCTCTTTCCCATGGTGGCGGAGGCTGACTGGGCATCAGGGCCAGTTGTGGGCCAGCTTTGATGTGCTGCGATTCCATGGGTCCCACTTACGCATCACTTCATCGTCGTCAAATCCAGTTAACCCCATACGGCAAAACCCAACGCAACCCATCACATCTTTTATATTTTTGGTCTGTCCTTTTTCCTTGCTTTTGCTTTTTGATTTTTGGTCAGTCTCTTTACTCCTTAATTATTTTAAAAACCAAGGAAAATAAAAAGAATAATTAACAACCAGGTATGCTTTGCTTTGGTGCCAATGCCCACAATTCTCTCTCTCTCTCTCTCTCTCTCTCTCTCTCTCTCTCTCTCAGAAGTATTATATATATATAGTTTTATAAAAATAAAAATATAGAAAAAAATCCATTAAATTCAATTGAATTGAAAGAAAGAATCTACAATAGAAAAAAAATAAAATGAAAGAAATGTTTCCATAGTGCCAATAAATAATATAGCAGAAGTGTTCGTTTTGATGACAATCAATGGCCATGTTCGTTCATTTTTGTACTCTCAATTATCTTTGAGTAGGTAGTAAGAATCTTTTGCCCAAGAGTTGATGGCCGTAATAATGTAACTTTTCCCGCCTTCTCTGTCCTATGTAAGTAGCTTGTTAATTATTATTTTGTAAGCTTTTTACATTACTCCCGCATATTATTATAAATGCAAATGTTAAAAAATATATTAAAGAAAAGCAGATATTAGACAATGGCAACTTTATTTCTTATAGAAAAACACTTCAAATCTAATACTTTAGAAAAACAAAATATAAAGTTGGCTTTTGAAGGACCCAAATTTAATAAACGACATTTGAAATATGTCACAACTCATGTCACTGCTTTTTAGATAAAAATAAAAATAGAGATAAAACTAAAAGCACGCGTGTTGAACTTTAAATTTCTTAACCGATCAAGACATGATAAATTCAAGTAACGTCGAAACAAATGCCCAACTGATTTCTAAGAGCTCAACTCTACTTTTTCATTGTTTATCTACGTCATATAAGCCATGGAACATGAGGTTTCTGTGTTGGGTTCATTGAAAGGAGGAAAGGAACAAGTTGTTTTTTGAAAGTAGTGGTAAGAAGTGAAGAATGTGAATATGCGTGTAAAAATAAAGCAAATCCAATTGAGTTTTGTATGATGAGAATGAGAAACCGGTCATAGTTCATTTTTATGTATATGGTAAGTGAGAAGTTTGGGTTTATTTATGTATACAATTTAGTTCTTCAAGTGTTACATATATGTGGTAGTTCTCATGTAATTTTTTTTTATAGCATAGTGGTGTTAGAATTTTAGTAAATTTGATAAAAGTATATTTCTTTTTAAATTTAATGTAAAAAGTCTTATTCTTTTGTCTTTTTTTAATGAAAAGGTAAGTAGAAAATGTAACTACTACCCTTTTAATAATTATTTTAGTTTTGGAAATTTGCCATCACTATCATTAAAAAATAATTTACTGCCACTATAATAATTGCCCTCTCTATGTTTTCTTTTCTTTTCTTTTACACTTGATTTCAATTGGGGTGTGTTTGGATGCTTTCCCATCAGATTCTTCACTCAGGGGACACACACAGCTTTTGAAGATCCAAACCATCCATCAATGCCACATACCCCTGCTTAGTTCTCTCTCTCTCTTCAAAATTAGGGTTTTTTCCCCCTATATATCTCTATTGTCACCCCCAAAATTTGCACTAAATTACATCACAACCACTTTGATAGTCCAATTCTCCCACCTAGTTTCTGAAACACAGAGCTTTGGGATTGGGTTTGGTGGGAAAGTCTCTGAATTGGGTTAGATCACAGATCATACTGTGGGAAATTCCCCTGTTTTTGCTGGTTTTTTCTGAAGGTTTTATGGGTTTTCTTCGTGCCCATTTGATTTGTTGACTTTTATACTGAGAATTTAATCAGAAGGCGCTGAGATTGAAACATATCAAATTGTATGCATAGTGCATGGAGTGGATTATGGAGGCAGTGCGTAATTTTCAGAGATTTTTGTGTTGAAGGGTTGTGATTTGGGATTGGTGGTTTGGTTCCATACAAATTTGAGGTTTTGGGGGAGTTTGGATTTGATTTGGTGGCCTTGCATGTGTAAGCTTTAAGGGTCCTCCGCTCAGATCCTACCACAAAACAGAAGTTGAAGTGTGATTTATAAAGTGTTCGTAATTTGTGTGATAAACAGTACCGAGTTTTTGCGGCAAATAAATCAAGTGGGAAGGTGGTGTTGAATTTTGAATCTATCTAATTTGGTGGGAAATGTTTGGTTCTGGTCCGGGTACTGCACATGAGAGCAGAGGATTTTCTGGACCGGTTCTAATTCCAACGCGGTTTGTTTGGCCTTATGGCGGAAGGAGGGTGTTTCTCAGTGGTTCTTTCACAAGGTGTGGCATCGAAATGACCATTTTCACTTATAGTTCTTGTTATTTGAATGATACCGTTTATCCTGTCAAAGGAGCTCAATGTATCATTGAATATGTGATATGGATTTATATTTGATTTTCTGTATTCGCAGGTGGTTAGAACATATACCTATGTCTCCAATGGAGGGCTGCCCAACTGTTTTTCAAGTTGTTTGGAACTTAACGCCAGGATATCACCAGGTTTATTTTATACACTAATTATCAACGCTATTATACCCAGTTCAGGTTTCTGAAGTCTAAACTCTTACTTATTGTCCTCATCTCTTGCACTATAATGATCGGTAGGTATTGATATGGATAACTGTCATGTGCTCTGCCCTGCTCAGTTGAGTTTGGTTGCATAAGGGATAAGCAATGTACTATATGGAACAGGATTAGTGATTTATGCTGTATCATTGTCTGCTCCTTTGCTACATCATAAGTGAAGAAATATTTCTGTAGGAAACATTGTAAAACCGTTCAGCATGAGCAGCTATCAGGCTTCTATTGTTCTGTAAATATCACCTTCGTAATTGTGGTAGAGCACTGGTTTAATAAGGATAAGCAACACTTTCCATTGTCTACTGAAGGACCGTTTGACAGTACTCATCAATAAGCTCTATCAGGCCCTCTACTACCAAATACATAAAAAATGTTGCTGGACGAGTTTGAATTGGCGGAACACAAAAGTGACTATTCCTCTCCTTTGGTTTGGAATGAGCCAACAAGGGGTTAACTTTTCATCATCAAAATACATGAGCTCTGAACCCGTACAAATCATTGCATTGATATTGTGTTGTGAGATAATATTACCATTCACTATATGCTTGTTGTGCTCTATCTATAATGCTCCTAATATGCTGATATATCCTTGTTGCTACCTACCTGTGGTGGCCATACCAAGGGCTAGATATGCTTTCTCACTGGCACATTATACATTATGAATAAGTCTCATGCTGATATCAGATGTGTTGTTCCATTAATTGCAGTACAAATTTTATGTTGACGGTGAATGGCGACATAATGAGCAGCAGCCTTTTGTTACTGGGAATTGTGGAACTGTAAATACCATCTTTCTAGCTGGGGAACCAGATATGGTTCCTACTAGTTTCAGTCCTGAGACTTCTGGCAGATCCAACATGGATGTAGATAATGATGTATTTACACATGTGGTAAGTTTTTTGCTTGTATTTATTTTGAGGGCCTTCAAGTTGTCTTGCAATACAGAATGCGTCATGTTGTAAGGCGGTCTATTGCAGGAAGCAGTTCCTAGGTTCTCACAGGCTGATCTCGACATCTCTCGACATCGTATATCTATGTTCTTGTCCAGACATACTGCTTATGAGTTGCTTCCTGAGTCAGGCAAGGTTTGAATGCTTTACCCTTCTGCAGGTACTGTTTATAGTTAGTAGTTTATTTGGCTGACCGCTGTAATCCAGTAATTGTGTTAACATTGCAGGTCATTGCCTTGGATGTTAATTTACCTGTGAAGCAAGCATTCCATATCCTACATGAACAGGTAAATGTCTTTTCCACAAAAACTTGTGCACACTTCCATTTAATTCCCCAGCTTTCCTAATTTGATTGTCTTTGTTCAATATACATCAGTTTTTTGGACATCTATGCTGTTTAAACAATTCGTGCTTGGTAATAATTTGCATTTTGTGCTTATCTTTATACTTGGTTGCTAATATAAGTTCCGTTCAGGGAGTACCTGTGGCGCCACTCTGGGATTTCGGCAAGGGCCAATTTGTTGGAGTTCTTAGTGCATTGGACTTCATCCTAATTTTGAAAGAGGTGTGTCATGTGTAAATTTGTCATTCCTTATTGCTAGTGTATGGTTATGCTAGTTTTGGATGAAACACAGTAAGATACATATGCAAATATGTAGAAGCATCTGTGTGTTTGAAAGTTTAAATTTTTTGAGGTGCACTGTGTAACTAAGATGCTTCTAAGCTTCAACTATGTTGCAAGGTACATAGTAAGCTTGTTCTTGTGAAGTTTTCCCTTATTGAACGTTCGTAATGTAGACATGTATCATCTTTCCTTCCTGGCACCACCAACCTAATGTTGCATGCCTATTTTTCCTTTTCCAAACCTTGCTGGAGTTACATATTTCGTTTTCCAAATAACCTTTAAGTTCTTCATTCTCCTCACTGTGAAAAACTGTTTTATGCGGCTCATGAGTTTTCATGGATGGCAATCTCAGATTGTGGTTCTTAATATCATTAGCCATTTTTTCCTTTTTGGTGCGTGGACTGCATGCTTGATTCTTGAAATGTATCTTGCTTTATAGATGTTGGTGACCTTGGCATTTGTTTTGTTTTTTGAAATTCACTCTCACATAGACACAGACAAGCACTTCCTAGTTCATTTTTCAGTTGATTAAAATGTATGGCTTTTATGAAAGCTTGGGGAGTCATGGGGTCCAACTTAACTGAGGAAGAGCTTGAGACTCATACTATAGCAGCATGGAAAGAAGCAAAATTACGTCTAAACAGACAATTTGATGGCAACGGGAGATGCTATCCACGACGTTTGGTCTCTGTAAGTTTCTCCTGAGGTGCTAATTTATATTATCTCTTGAAATGAAATATTTCCCTTTGAAATTATATAATTAATAAATTTGTATACCTTTTTCGGCCTTTTGGTTAAGATCTAGTGTATTATAGTTCATAAATTTATGTAATGTTTTCTTTTAAACAACTTGGAAGTTGGTACTTCATTATGACTGCATTTATACGTGAAGCACATATATGCTCATGACAATTTTCAAATGTCGAAAAATGGGATTACATATGCACTAAGGGTAGCTAAAATCTGCATGTTCTTTCTTAAGGGTTCTGGTGCTGAATTATGGCAGAACATGGATTCACTGAAGCTTCTTGATTTCACATCATGATAATGCTTATTCGTATGTGTACTGTTTTGATATGCAGGCTGGGCCTTATGATTCTCTCAAAGAAGTTGCTTTGGGAATTTTGCAAAACAAGGTGGCTACGATTCCAATTGTCCATTCTTCTTCACAAGATGGTTCATTTCCACAGCTATTGATCTTGCTTCTCTTTCTGGAATACTAAAATGTAAGTTTTTCTCCAGTATTTTGGTTAAGGTTAGGCATTTAGTTACTAATCTGTAACAAAACTTTCAGGCATATGCAGGCATTTTAGACATTCTTCTAGCTCCTTGCCCATTCTCCAACATCCTATATCTGAGTTCCCTATAGGTACATGGGTTCCAAATATTGGGGAACCAAATGGACGGGCCGTTGGCAATGTTGAGACAAAATTCTTCTCTCGCTGATGCTCTGTCTTTGTTGGTACAAGGTTATATATCTTTTTTACTAGCTATTTACTTCACTACCCATAGTGGGTGATAATTCATCTCTTGCTGATGCCCTGTCTCTTTTGCAGCTGAAGTTAGTTCAATACCCATTGTGGATGAGAATGATTCGTTGCTGGATATTTATTCACGAAGGTGATATTTAAATTTTTTAAATTTATATGTGCATCAAGTTTTATGTATAACTAATCCTTCGTTCGTTGACCAATTGTGGAATGTGTCTGTTATATCTTCCCCAGTGATATTACCGCTTTGGCAAGAGATAAAGCTTATACACAGATTCACCTAGATGAATTGAGCATCCATCAGGTAAAATTTCACATTTGAAATGTTTGGTAATAAAAAAGTCAGGCGCAACACTAAAAGTTCCTTGGACAATAACTGAAGTGCTTGTCTGACTATGATGTTGCAACTTGCAAACTTGTATTCCACCGCTTTGAGAACTGAATGTGCTTGTCTGCATTGTGTATTGTTGTAGACATTGCAACTGGGACAAGATGCAAATTCTCCTTATGGCTTCCTCAGTGGACAGAGATGTCAGATGTGTTTGCGATCGGATCCTTTGCATAAAGTGATTGAGCGCTTGGCTAATCCTGGTACGTTGCTTGCTCATCTGCATTAGTATTTTAGTATAATTAAAATAGCTTTCCTTTTATGTTCTTTGCATTAGATAAATATATATATATATATATATATATTTCCTTCAGAAGTTGCTTCCTTTGTTTATATTTTTAGGGGTTAGGAGGCTGGTGATTGTGGGAGGCTGGCAGCAAACGTGTAGAAGGGATTATTTCATTGAGTGATGTATTCAGGTTCCTGCTAGGCTAGCTATCTTAAAGATGTTGGCTACGATATACCATGGCGTGGCTTGTGGCAGTGGCATTGGGGGCGATTTTCCTTTGGACACTTTTTTTATGTCTTACACATGCTGAATGGCTTCATTTAATCACTCGGATCTTTTACGGGCCTCGTGTTTCTGAGCCCCATCTTTTGCTAGAATAGAAATTTCAAAGAGAGAATCTGTAAATTGTGAGGATTCAAAATTTCCCTTTTTCATTGGTATAAACCTATTTATCAACCCCACCTCGTCCGCGGTCTTTTATGTTAAAGCTAATAGAATGACTGCAAAAAGAATTTGGTACAGTGTACATGGCACCTCTTGCGGTACCTTGCATTGCAAGAAACTGGCAATTTAGATGTTGGGTTTTATCTCTCTTTGTTTTTTGGGGATGGCTTGTCAATATCTTACCGTGGTTGGTCAAAACTCAAAATACTTCTCAAGTTCCCATGAAACTTTTTCTTCCTCTTATGGCCCATGGGTGTCATGTCCAGTCTCACTAGCAGTGGCAAATGAGGTCAGCCGAGGTGTCGGTGCTGGATTCTGAATGATTAAAGCTTCAGTTGCTTGGGAAGTAAATTTTGTTGAAGGTAAGTTAATCCTAAAACTCTCACTGAAAAATGAGTGACAAGCATTTGAATAGATTCCGTCCAAAAAAAAAAAGCATTTGAAAAGGTCCATCAGGGTATGCGCAGAAACCATTTTACAAGATGAACATGGGGCGAGAGGAAAAGTTCGAATTATTCAATATTAACATAAAATCATCGATAGAAAAATATTATTCAAAAAGTTACCCATATTTTACAGTTATGCCCATTTTATATTTATATACTTTTTTTTTACTAAGGGCGCCAGCCGAGAATGAGAATTGGGGTTCGTTTGCAGTTGTTATTTTCCTAATTTCATTACCAAGAGTAAAATTGACATTTATGTGCAAAAAAATGTTCAAATATCCAGTTTCAAATTTCTGAAAGAAAATAGGCTCTACTTATCTTTTTAGACAAGTGGTTTCTTCGACCACGTTGGAAGCCATCACTTATTCAAAATCAGAAAATATAGATCACAGCATAGCTGAGTTGCAGCTACAGGCACCAGTACGATTGAGAATCTGTTAAGCAGAAACATGTATTGGTCTTTTCTTTTGGCCAATGTGAGAGACATTAGTTGGTTACCACCGAAAAAGAACAAAAAACGAGAACAAACCCTAAACAAAGCCTTTATCAACTATATACACGGACCTGCTGCTTCTAATTTACAGGCTTCTTGGCAAGAGCCATGCAACTCAATCTGACCCACGTAATTGTCAGTCAGTTGAGTTTGGTATGAAATAATTTTAGATATCAAGATGAGATGACTCTAGGGACTGAATGGAAGCATCGGACTCAAGTTGGTACCAGTGCTAATATCTGGGTCTTGATTCTGCCCATGCACATTTGAATTTCTCTGTAAATTCCAACATTCTGTGGGCACCGTGGATGCAGGCTTGTGACAGCGTAATCTAATACTTGGGCGACAACAGCTGGAGGATATTGTCGTTCGGTGCATGTCTGCACACCACAAGCAAAAATATTCAGCATAATGCAGTTACAGGTAGGAAACGATTTAGGGAAAAAGAACACCACCACCCACCCCCCCCCTCTCACGCTTTGGACTTTAATATAAGGCAGTCTTTCATTTTCGATTACTTGAGTTTTCATTATGAACAGGGATGTAATGTATCAAGTGGGATAGAGCATATTCAGTTTACCTGTATCATGTGCACAGCCATCACACAAGCAGAGATAACGTCTGAAAGAACCTGTGCCTCAGTTTTTTCAGTATCAGTATTCAGCTTTGGACCAGGTGAATCGCTGGTAAAGTTGGGATCTGATGTACTGGAAATCAACTGATTGCGATGGCCCAAATTACCATTTACTTGCTCTTGAGACCTGTTTAGAGATAATCTAGAGTCTGATGGCAGATGCTGGTTATCAATGGAATCTAGAGCCTCTCTTATCCTTACATAAGCATCTTCCCCTCCCTTCCTTGATGACATTGCCTGCAATGACACAGAATCATTGTGTTATCACACTAACTGCCTTCTATCTTCATGCCAAAGAATAAGGAAAAAATAAAGATAAAAGCAACTTCTGGGATTTTCTTCAACAAAAGAACAAAGAAAAACAATGCTTGGATTTTCAACCATTTGATCTGTAAATTACTAAAGGATCACCCAAAGGGTAAGTTATGGCCCAAACGGGGAAGACCAGTATCCTACTAGCCAAAATTACAACACATCGACTTTATACCAGGGAGAGACCCTCCATACCTGAATAGCAGCATTTACCATCATATGTGCTTTCGATCTTGAGACTTCAACAATTTCAGCCACACTAGATCCTGATTCTTGAGAAATGGAACTGTCAAAGGAACTTGGGAGGCCACCATAGACGGTGGAATTGGCTGGCTGTTTCAGCCAAGGAGGCAGAGAATTTGCTGGATAAGTATTACGTTGCCTCAAATTAAGCAAAGCTGAAGAAACCTGCATGCGGAAACAAAAGTATTATAAGGCCGCTACAAGGTCAGAGCAGAATGTGGTACACCAAACACAGATATAAAGCATGATATAAATTCACGGAAGCCACATGCCTGGCCACTGGCTTCCTTTAGCTGTACAAGTACCGTGGCGTAATGCTTCTTAAAAGGCTCGCTATCTTTTAAAGAGCATTCTCCACTGTTCTGGTTTTCCAAGATGTTATTATTTGTGTTCCTAAGCTCCATCAACAATGCCTCCTAAAATTCCAAAAACAAAATGAACTCTTTCTGAACATCATTACTAATTCAAGGAAGATTATCAAAGAAGCTTGATGCTGAAAGATTCATAGGGATAGACAACACTAAGACAATTGATCAAGGTGGAAAAAGATAAGCAAAAGTACAGTGCTGATCATTGGTTTCACCAAGTCCACTTGTAAGGAAATCTGGATCTTTCAGCTGTTCCATACATTTTACGTATCACCAATCACCATATTGAGGAAATTCTAGAAGACCTAAGGAATCTAGGAGGAAGTGGCTTAAAAGTTGAAAACACTGAACAAAAGATTTACATATGGAAGTCAGCTTTCAAGCCAACTGAAATTACGAGAAGACAACTAAATGCATGGGCAGTTCGGCATCAGAATGTTCCCAAATGAATTATATACATCTATAATCAACTTCAAGGATAAAAAAATAAGTTATAACCTTCTTATCAAGAGCACGAGTCAACTCAGAAAGAGCTCGTATGTCTGCATCTCTTGCTTGATTATGTGCCACCACCATACCAGGTTGACTATATGTTGACTGTTGTGCTTGTGCTCTATCAATATCAGCAGAAGCTGCCTTTGGTTGTGAAGTTGTATGGTTTGAATCCCCCTGTACAAAATTGTACAGAAAATTAAGTTTATTATAGACGACAACTAGTATCCATACTTCTGAGACTGATCCATGTCACTGGAACACCCTCCCCCCTGACCCGAAACCTATTTTTCTCTATAAAAAAACATTAATGCAGTTCACCCATTACGAAGACTAGGTTCAACTATGTAAGTCTCTTCTACTCTCTTTTTTCCCTAATCTCTCTTCTACTCTCAAATGTACATACGAACTGGGTTGGCCACTAAATGCCTGTTACCAGTAGAAGAACGTGATTACCAGTGATTGTGAACCTAGGGGCATCTGGGAGTTTTGCGCTTCCCAATTGAAATTATAGAAAAAATTGTGCATAACATCTGCTCAGTTCAGGTACCATAATCATAAATTGTAAAATGTTAATGAAAATGCAAAGATAAAACTAAGGTCAAATGCAACATCTACAACACGAAAAGGACTTCCAGAATATGAGATAAGCAGTGGATTCTATGAACTGAGCAGATGTTATGCACAATTTTTGCTTACTAGAAATTCTGACCTTTCCCTGCTTTACGGAAGTATTCATGGGGCTAGTTGCTTTCTCGAAATGCGGGCCTCCAAAATTTAGATTCCCATTCTTATTGGCCTCCTTAGATGTAAGAGAGAATTTGTCAAAAGCAAAATTCTGTCTCCTAAGAGCTTCTGGCATATTATCCAATGGGTTCAATGGCATACAATCCACATCCTGTAATGAAAAATTCTCATGTCATATCTCAAAGAAAGAAATAGATTGTCCTAATGTAGCACATTCACTCACTCTCGATAGAACATAAGAAATAGGAACCAAAGTAACCAAAATAATGAAATAATAAAATCTTCACGCAGCAGACCAAAGAGCAACCTCAGGTAAAATCATCAGGGTTCATCTTTCTTTTCATTAGTGTATAATTAGGCTGTAACCTTTGAATGTAACCAAAGTTTTTATGGTTCTTGTAGTATAGTTTTTATTGTAATCAATAGCCTCATAATTTTCTTATTCAATTTCAGATCCATAAAAAAGTTCAGCAAAAGCTAAACAGAATATAGAAAATAATTTAATAATCATGTAATAGCCTAAAAGTATAACTAAAATTAATGTATCAAATAGCACCTAATATTTAATTTACAAAAAGAAAAAGAAAAAAGATCAAGTATCTCAATTCAATAATGATGCACACAAATGAATAATCAGATAGAATGGTTAAGGTAAAATAATTTACCTAGCATCAGCTACTATTAAAGTCACTAAAGATCAAATAAGCTCATATTTTGTGTGTGAAGATGGGTGTAAGTGTGTCAAAAGATAGTTTGATGAAAATGAGAGGGACAGGGAGAGAGAGAGAGACTCAAAAGAGTTTTCTGCAGTGACAATATGAATACAAAATGGAAAGTATGACATACCATGACAAATTCAACTCCTATATCTGGGCGGTCAAACTGAACCCTGCACTTGTCATGATCAACTGTGAGCACACTTCCATCATGAACTTCTCTTGTCTTGGGATGTAGAGCAATCACTCGTTGCCCAACTGATAAAGGTCTTGCTAAATCTGTTGGGAGTCCTTCCCTATCACCAGTTCGGAGTTCAGCATAATGTTTCCTTACAGATTCCCGATATTGTTTAAGTTTCTCTCTCTCTTCATGTAGAAAGTGCTCAGAAAACCTCCGAGGTTTGCCAAGGGAACTGCAATATAAAGAAAACAATACAATAATCTTCTGTTGGTATTTCAAATTCACATACCATAATCTACCTAAACAACTTGAAAAAAGTACCTTCTAATGACACCCCATTCAACACGAGTTAGTCTTGGAATGTGTCCCAGTCCCACATGATTCAAGTACTCCTCAAACTCCCTTTTGGCAAACCAAGGGTAGTCAAGTGCACTATAAAACCACTCAAAAGTGCACCATCTACGTACTAAATGTGATGACAAGCAGCAAGAAGTCTTCTCCTGAAAATTACACAAGAAAATAAGACTTTGGCTCTAAACTTAACTGTTGAAAAGTGTACGGAAAAAAAGGAGGGAGGCAAGAGATTACCTTTAAATACAGTGCTCTGTCGTGCGTCGAGCTGGAGCGTATGTTAAGTTGATTTTTTAATTTTTTCTCAGAAGACTTCTCTTTGGGGTGCAATGTTCTGGGTATATACATTTTACGTCTGCTTATTCGTTTCGTTGGCAAATTAACATGGTTTGAAGTGGGAGCTTGTGCATTCGTCACCGTCAAATCAGTCCCTGTTCGCCTATAATCGCTATTCAAAGATCCTTCCAGGGATCTGTTCGATTTCCATTGTTTTGAAGGAGTAGAGCTTTGATTGGTGCGTTTTCCTTTAGTCACTGGTTTATTTTCTTCTTCACCAAAGGCCTACAGATATGGTGCGGGAAAAGTTAAACATAAATCAATATCCAAATGGCAGGTAAAAGATCAGTTACTTTCATTCAAAAAAACTGAAAACATAAGAAAGATTTATCATGTTGAAGTTGAACATGATAAACTTCTTATTTGATAATGTAAATATAGTTATATCTTTTAGGATATTCAACAAATATACTGCCAATAGGATATATTTATTGAATGGTCATATCCTACTCTTTCAAGAATTGCCATATTGTTGTATCAGTGTCATATGGTTATCCATGCTTCATAAATAGGCACATAGCTACAAGACTCACAACAATAACAAGGTATAATCAACCATCAGTTCAGAAAGTAACCACAAAGCATTGGCTCTCTTAGGAAGAGAGAAAAAAACAATTATAAATGTGAATAAAAGAGCTGCATACCTCAATCTTTAAAGGTTCATTTATATTAGAATCAATAGGGGCATCAGCATTTGATATCTGCACATGGACAAGAATTGTCATTTGTCATCAAATAACCCAAATGTTAAACAAAAATTAAGATAAGAGAGATATAAGAAAATTTTATGTTGATAATTAACCCTCATCCCTGTGTTTACCTTTGATACTGAGGACTTCCGTTTCCTTTTCCATGTTTTAGTGGTAGACTGGAGCTGTTGCTCCGATTCAGAGACAGCAGTAGTATCAAATGCCGGCTCCCTCCCAAGTTTGGATTTTTTGGAATTAGTACCCTCAACTCCAGAAATTGCAAAAGGTACTCTATGTTTTGCGCTGGGGATTTTATTTTTGTTTCTAGATTGGCTTGTAGATGTAGCTTCAGGCACACTAAATTTATCTTCCACATCAAGGTTTGTTCCTTCCTCTTTCAACTGGACAGATGATCCTATATCCAACAAATAACAATCACATAATAGATAAAAGAAAATATTTAATTAGTATACCGTGCATAATAGATGTGTGTAATTAACAAGAATTGCACCAAGATAAAAACATTGAACCCTAAGAACCAAGTGCAATTTACAAGCCTGCAATAAATTTTATTTCATGGGAGTCATCTACTTCATTTTTCTTCTAATTTATCCAACCTCTAAAAAGTAAAGATGAAATGTAAAGGGATGCCTGTTGATCAACACGAATGTCTCACTAAAGATGAAATTTAAAAGGATGCCTGTTGATCTATTCTCTATATATAGATGAAAGGAGGGGGCGGGGAAGGAGTCACATAATCCCATGTGCAAACAAATCAATCTATAGAGTTTTCCTAAACCACAACCTACATACCAGATTCCATTGTGGATTCTGGCATCATCAGAGACAAATCAGCCAAAGTTTGCAGAGCATCCAAGCATGAGCTTTCATCTACAAGAAAACAATTGGAATATCAATATATTGTTACAAGAGATACAGAGAAAACCTCAATCAAAATTGCAGGTTGCAAACACATAACTGAAAAAGTAGGGATATATAGTTCATGATTCACAAAAATAAAAAGATGTTAAAAAAAATGATGCCTAAGGCACAAAATGCAAGTGATGGAATTCAGAATTGAAATGGTCATTATAGGTGCACGTTTATCTAGGTGTGGCTGCCCCTAATTGTCATTTTAACAAATCGTTTATCCAAAAAAGCAAAAGTCACATATATCCAGAAAATTACCTTAGTTGAAAATTTCATTAACTAATATTAATAACATATTTTATAGAAACTGGCCCACTCGGGACAAACTCATAATCCTTATATTTTACAGTGGAGAAGATTCAAACATATGGTCTAGTCCACATGGAAGACAATGCATCTCTTGATAACAAATTCATGTGATCCATAATCAACTCTGAAATTACTGAAATCTAAAAGTAAATTCCAAAGACGGATCTCGGATGAGCACCTCCCACCATCCACATGCTGAAGAGTTGCTGAACTAGCTGAAAGCTCTTCACAAAAATTATTTCCCAGTTATATCCCACGATTTGGTTGAATTCAGAAAATTCCCTCTAGGTTCAAAAATCATATCCAAACGCACCAATAAGAGAACAAACTAGAAAGCCTGGATTCTAAATGTACAAAAAATGAGACTGACTTGGTCCTTGTTAAAAAATATATTGTCATAAATTTAAGTAAAAAACGCACTTTTGTTACCATGTTCTATCCAGTTCCCATATCTGACATTGGTACTGGCACCTACGTACTTAAGTTCAATACAGACTATTTGGACTTTGAAGGAAAAATCATATTCCAAAAAAATAAAAGATAACATCACTAACTATTTCGACTTTCAATTTCATGAGAAGAAAAACAGCAAGAGAGAGAGAATCACAGTCCTCTCTCTGTGTCCAGGAATGCAAAAGATACATAAAAGAAAATATTACCTCCAAAATAAAGTTTCTTGCTTCTCTTCCTTTGACCTTGTGGAGAAAATCGTTCCCCTTTTGTATTTGAAACTTCAATATCATCTTTCCCCCTCGAACTGACATTAAGTCCTTCTTCAGTGCCACTGCATGCTTCACCACCATCATCAAACTGATGATTCCCAATGTCTTTAGCTTTCTCTTTCTTTCCATAGAACTTCTTACCCTTCCAATTAATTTCTACTGTACCTACGCCTTCTAACGAATCTCTGGCATAATCTCCAGTTTCAGCCCCCTTGCTTCCTATACTACCTTCCAACCAGTCTTCGTCCATCGAAGGATCACGAAGATTAGCCCGAGCTTTCCCTCGTGGTGGATGCTAAATTACATAAACAAGAGAGAAGCAAATAATTGAATTTTCAGACATCTATGAACAAGGCAACAAAGGTAGTGCAAGAACAAGTGGAGATATATTATGTACCATTCTTTCTGAGCTCTGAACTTTACATGCACGGGTCTTCTGTATGGCGTTTGAGAAATTTGGGGAGAGCCTCCTCTTTGTGAAGCCTCAGTTAATAATGCTGCGACATGCACAACTTCATCATCATTGTCCCCCTCTGACCTCCGACCCTTTTTAATTGGAGAGACATAAGTATCCCTATCATCTTTCTTATATGCATATGAAACTGGGAAGCGAGGTGTCCTCTTCCCAACTGCCCGAGGCTGACCACCTGATTAAAATTTGAAGTCACAAGAACAGAAGTCAAACTTCAGATGGTAATAATTTTTCTTGTAAGCATTGCACCATGAAAAAATGTATTCAAGTTACAGTTCCCATGATCATAGAATGAAACCAATTTGTACAAAGAACAGAAACACCAGTATGATGGTGTTCATCATATAAGGCATCATACCATCAAGCCTTCTCCTTTTTAATAATGATAGGCATCCTTCATGTGAAGCATTTGAATGCGACTGGAAAACATCTTTCGAGGCACTGAGCTGATCTTTCCCAAGCTTACGTTTCTGCGGTTTCCGAGAAAATCCTAAAGCATCATTGCTCTCTCGTTCACTATCACTGCCTTCCTGTCAATTAACAAGTAGAAACCACGTTACAATGAGATCCCTGATGAGTAGAAATTAGCATACCATCTCCAAGTATAAACCCCCAAAACAAATTCCAAATAAAATCCAAAATCAGAGGAAAACTTGAAATTGTAATTTAATCTCACCATAACATTATAGTGATCTGTCATCATCGCTTTGAGGCCAACCACAGAAGCTGTACCCTCTGGCAGTGACAAGTATGCCTGAAACAGAAGCATTAACAATTCCTGTTGTCAGAGATGGTAAAAGACAACCTTATAATGAATGTTTAATGATTAAGTTAAAGTAGCACCATAGACCACACATACTCGGTTCATATTGTAAAGAGCCTCCACCATCTCAATGCTTCTGTTGCGCACTGCAGCAGCCACCTAGAGATCAACAGAAATTAATAATCTAACAGATAGGGGAATAAAGACAACATAAAGTGCACAAGAAATGATTCACTGACGCATAAACTACAATTAGTAAGACATTAATGTGGGCAAAATGAAATTTCACTACGATATGTTTCACCAAGTGATGTGCAATTTGCCTACAGCTGATATATCATAATAGCAGCTATAGTTGTCTACAAAATTTCCAAAGGCAACTGAATCAAGAGAACAAACACTAGCATACCTTCCTCCAATCTTTCCCATATTTTCGGTAGGCATCATAAAAACGCTCAAGCTCTCCCTTGCTCCACTCCGGTCCCAACTTATCAGACAACTTTCTCTTCTATGCAAAAAATTTGAACAAACACAACATCAAGTCATCTGAATAAAAAGTCTTCATATATGCTAAATTGAAAGAAAAAAAATAAAAATAAACCAGGAGTTACCCGTTGCTTTTTTTTGTTTGACCCTCCGCCGTATTTCTCAGGAGAGGCCTCATTTACAGTTGCATACCGCTTTACACTTTTGGATTTTTTTGTTGGGGCCATGGAAAAACTTCAAGTGTCTGAAGCACATAAGGTAATAAAATTAGATAACTGCATGTGTGGCACTGATTTTAAACATATTCCTACCCAGTAGCATCAGCTACAGTTTCGATAATCAACTAATCGTGGCAATACCCTCTTCTAATTAGCCAAATGAAAACCCATTTTCTCTAAAAATATGTCATTTCTCCCTGCAACTTAATATTCCAATAAGATCTACAGCCTCAAAGACTGATCCATAGAAAACAACAAGGAAACAGAATGACTCACCCATTAATCCACAAGGTACAACCACTTCAAAAAATCCCTTTTTTTTTTCAAATGATGAGGAACACATATTTTATAAAACAAGCGCCTTCCCTTCTGCTAATTATTGTTTTCTCAGAGCAAACTAATTTTCGGACGCAGTGTGTGGAATTCAAAATCTACCTTAGCACAGCGTAGGCACCAAATTCAGATTCGATAAAATGCTTGATTCCTAGAAATCACATCACATTATGAGATCGACTCCCAAAATTCAAAAATTCACTAATTCACTAATTCACTCTACATGCAATCAGTCAAAGCCACAAAAAATAAACTGGTTTCGAAAAGACTGTTTTTCAGAACCACTTCGAAAAGCAACAGAAACAAAGAAATCAAGAACTAATTTTCAAAACATTAGCTAATTTCAAATTATTCTCCGTCGCAACACTTTTTTAAAACCCTAAAAATCACAGATCGGAGGTACTTACTCGTCGTAGGGTTTATGCAAACCCAAATTGAACAATCAGAGAAAGGGAGAGAGAGACTTTTAGAGAGAGAAAATGGTTCGGAGAAGGAGAGGGACTTTTAGAGAGAGAGAGAGTGCGTATTGTAGAGAGAGAAGGATAGAGAGGAGGCGTTGCCGCGAAACTTGAATATAAAGGTGAGAAGACAGAGCCAATGAAATTTTTTGATTTTCTTTTTCTTTTTCATTATGGTTTTTCAGAGAGCGTGTAGAAGATGAGGGTAAAGGAGGGAGAGTACGGGGTTTGTATTTGAGGGGTGCTGATCACCGTACACCTGGACCCCGTGAAGGATCTCTACGGTTTGAGTTTGATGTTGGTGTTTGGTTTGGTACGAATGAGCATACGAGATTGGATTTGAAAATTTTCTGAATGTGGATATATCAAAAAGTTAGTGCCCCTTGCAATCAAAGTTTTTTTGAAAAATTATTAGTGGATAGACCATTGCATTGGGGGTAGGTCAGTTGATATTTGGGCCAGGCCCAATTTATAGAAGGCGGGCCCAAATACTGAAACATAGAGGAATTGATATTCAATTCAAATAATTTCTTATAATTTGGTTTTTGCCCCAAAAAAAGTTCATATAAAAAACAAAATTTATTTATTTACATAAAACTTGAGGCAGGCAAAACCACTTGCCATTGAATGAGAAAGCTTTAAATTTCCCATTTCATCTGCAGAACAGTGTAGAATTTGAAGCTTGAAGTTGTGCCACAAACAACATGAGCCCAATTGCTGAAGAAAATCTTGCTTCGGAAGTTTGACATGAAGTGCAAACAAACTTGTCATAATTCGATGCAGAAGTTGCCATTGAAATTTAGGGTTTAGATCAGAAGAACTTGCATCGAATCGAAACCGGCATAGCAATGAAACTGAAATTCTGATTTGATGAAAACTCCTGATGATACATGGAGAAACTGAAACCGGCAACGAGATCAAGTATCCTAATATCCACTTTGGATCATTAGCACTCCTTTCCATCCGTACGAGTTGCAATTCGCAACCATTCACCTCAGGAACCAAGTATGAGCCCTCATCATCTAAAGTGAACCAAGTACTGCCATTCTCATCGTGGATGAGGGATCTATCTTTCAATTACACGTCTACTGTTTCTAAAGTCATCAAAGCCACTGTCCTTGTCCCTACCATATTCATTAACCCCTCCACGCTGCTGCTTTCCAAATCCTTCTCTTCTAGGCCCCTTAAAATTGTGTGCATCAGCTCCTCTGTTACTCCTTCTCTGCCCATCAAAATCGTTCCCCCGAAATCCTTTGTTATTACTGCGAGACCCTCCTGCTGATCTATCAAAATCATCATTGAAAGAATTCCTCCCACTCTTTCCAAACCCTTCTCTTCTAGGACCCCCCTTAAAACTCTGCTTATCACCACCTCTGTTACTCATTCTCTGGCTGTCAAAATCATTCCCTCGAAATCCTTTATTACTACCATGAGACCCTCGTGCTGATCTGTCAAAATCATTGTTGAAAGAATTTCTCCTACCACCCTTCATTCCACTGGATTCAAATTGTGTGTCTCTGGTAAAGTTATGGCTGCCCCGACCTTTGAAATTGTTTTCTTTAGGCCTTCTGAGTCTATTTTTACTGGATTGAAAATCATCATTGTCTGATTCTGAACCAGAAACTGAATCATCTTCAACATCAAAATTTCCTCTCCTCTGAAAATCTCTTATCCCAGAACCTAATTTATTCAATTTACCTCGCCTGGATCCAAAAGTTTGATCTACATCATCTACATCAGAAGACAGTCCAATTTCATCATCAGAACCAAAGCTTAATCCCCTGGATGGACCAGTTGTATTTCTACCCCTACCTCTTGATCTAGAATCAGCAACATGACTAGATTTCCAGTTGGGATGGGCTGAAAGCTCTTCGTCAGAAACAAGTTCACCATCATCTGAGACAGAGAACGCTGCCTGTTGACGTGTAGACTTAAGTGGCTTATTGTAAGAAGATTTTGTTCTGCGACGACCATGCGAACTATTGTCAGAGCCTTCAATGTCTTCTGATTCGGACCCTTCAAATTCCGAAAAATCAATTGAACCGCTCTGTGCTGAATTTTTATTGTTAGTGTCTAACTCGTAATTGTCAATATCATCATCTTCATCATTAAAATCATCAAACCCTCTTCCTGGCCTAACAGTATCACCATCAGAGTATTCTTCATTGTGAACACTTGGTACTCTGCTATCTTTAGGGCGGCCAAAATTTTGTCCTTGAGCCTGGTTACCAAGAGAACCTTCACCTATTACTGAAGAATCTGCATATTCAAAAGCAGCAACATCTGCCCCGTCTGACTCATTGTCATCAAAATCAAAATTCCAGGCATTAGAGTCCCCGTGAAGAACAGCAGTCTTCTCCATCCTTGTCCTAGGGCCACGTTGCGTTTCTTGCACTTTGTTCTCCAGATATTCGTCCGGTGGGCGCTTGCAATCACAATGAAAGCATGCCATATTTCTCCTATAATTTAAAAAGTTGCACCTGACATATAACAGAACAACATAAGAAAATCAAGAATCTCGAAAACTAAAACTAGCTACAATAAAGATATGACTGTGTATCTAAAGGGCACATATAAAAAATTATGGGAAAAGCCAAGAGTGATATCTTACCCAGGGCATTCCCATTCTCCTGGAAGCAGTTGTCTCTTTGGACGTTTGGCATCACATTGCAGGCAGATGGTGTTCTTGGCAAAATTCATGAAGTCACACCTGATACCAGTATTCAGAATCATCAGCGAATTCCAGAAGTCAAAAATTTCATAAAAACAAAAGTGGCAGACAACATAATTAGCTTATTCAGTTCAACTATGCTTCTTAACAACAGAAAGAAAGGCTAAAAAGTATCAATGAGCTAAGTCAATGGAAAGCCAATTATGGGTTCTAAACAACATAACTATTCCTCATAGGAAGCCAAAAACTAGAGTCCCTTTATTCTAGGCTGAAGCCTAAAAGCATGACATGACATGCAAAACAACTTTAATACGAGTACACAAAACTAGACCTGGCAGATAGGAACTTCGCCAAAGCAACATGCCACATAATACTTATATGCATTTTCCAGAAAATTACCAACAAAGTATTAATTGTAGAAGACAAATAAATTGGCCATGATCCAGAAGAATAAAATAAAAGAAATTAGAAGAAGCATACTTAGAGCATAGCCAGTCCCCTTTTTTCATCTCAATGTCATCTCGTCCAACTCGCCTTCTTGGAGGGGGAGGAGGCTGCTTTACTTTTGGGGGTGGCTTTTTGATTACTGGAGGTGGAAGATTAGGATCTATTGGAACTGAACTCAACTTGACAACCTGATGAAGTAACTTACGGACCACAGTCTTAACAGACTTTTGTTTCAGAAGTGACTTATTGACTACTGATCCATTTACAGGATCAAATCCATAAGCCAATAAAACACGCATTATATCAATAGTACGTGCCTCATCCTCTTTGTTAGTAATCAGATATGCTCTTTCGCAGGAATTTCTTAAACTGCAGGAACTGCAAACCTGGAATACGAATGAATACTCATTACAAAAAATGCTTAAGTTAAGCATTCATATCCATATGCACAAATAAATACGAGGGATGAGGAAAATAAACTGGACCCTTCGGATACTATATTTTTCCAATATGGGACATATGCGGCATGCCACAATATCAACGAATATGAAAAGAAATACTCAAATGATTTATACTTTAGCAATAGTCACTGCAGAATAAATGGTCATAGCATCCTAGACTCTAAAGGCTGAAAAACGGAGAACATGCAAATATTCTGGAATTTATAACAAATTATCTTGTACCTCAGAATGCCAATCATATTTATTTTGACTTATTACTTACAAGATAAGCAATGACAAATGCTAATCAACAAGGAATGAGATGTCAGCGGTTAGATGCAATTTATATGGCCAAGCAATACAAGGAATTATTCTTCTAAGTAACACTCACATCTCCTTCATCAAGGTGGGTATGCTTCCTCAACAACTTTGAAGAGAAAACCACCTTCTTGTCCGTACTCGGGCATCCAAAACCCACCAAAACTTGAATATCCTGTCTCGACAAGGACCTGAAATTACTTTTCTATCTCAGAACTTGTCAATCATAATAGCATTAAACACAACATATGTTACCCAGCACATGTATAGACAATAACTTGTGCACTTACCCTATTCGTCACTTATAATTCTAGGAAAGATATCAACTTATCTCAAAATGTTGTTTAGCATACAATCAAAAGCAACCATTTACACTTCATTTAGTATCAAGCCACATACCTCATAATATCGAACCGGTCCTTCCCGAAATTAAGACATGCTGTTTGAACAGTCTTGAAATCCTTGAAATCAACACCTTGGGCATCTTCCTTTGCCGCCAAAACAGCTTCAGATGCATTAAAGCCAATATCTTGGATCATTCTATCCTCATCGTTTCTCCTATGATCAAAATAGTTCTGCTGCACCAGCCTCTCCATTAGTTCAATCCACTCCGGCCATGGGTGCACTACCTCTACCTCTTTCTTAGCTGCCACTGTCGTCTCCAACCTCTCCGACTCGGACGAAACTGAGTCAGAACTAATCAACTTAGCATTATTTTCGCTGTCACTGACAACTCCCAACCCTAATTCTGGGTTATTTTGGGATTTTTTGGAGTCACGCCAAGCTCGGATTTTTTGAAGGGTTTGATCCTTCTCGGAGCGTTCTTTCTCGATGGCGTCAATTTGGTCGAAGACGAAACTCAATCGTGCTGAGAGCGAGGAAGGTTTTGGCTCTAAGGAGGAGATTGGGGTTGGTGAGGTTGAGAAGGGTTTTAGGAGAGAGAGGAAAGCTGGAGGGGGTTTAAGGTTCGGAGAACAGCTCGAAAGGCGTTTGAGTAGGAGCAATGAGTGTGGAGTTTGTGCCATTTCCGGAAAAGAGTCAGAGAGGGAGAGAGAGTATTCAACTATGGTGTTAAACCCTCCATGGATGAGAGGGGGAGAGAGGAGTTAGACGACGAAGGTGAGCTTAAACCTATAATGGGCTTACAGTGGAAGAAGAAAATGACTAATTTGGGCTTCATTTCCCTTGATTTGGTGTTTTTGTTTGGGTTTTGAGCTTTGATGATTGTGGTCACCCAGATGGTTGGGCCGAAATATAAATTTTATGACCGGTAATTATTTTTATTTTTTGGGTCGAAATGATATTTCAACCTTCCAAAATTACTAGATCAAAAAATTGGTAATCAATTTTCTTTTTGTTTTTGGATAATCACTAGATTAATTAGATAGAACGAGTGATAGAGATTTCAAAGCTAAAAGGGTATTAAACTTCGAATAGCTCTCTTGACATTTTTTTTATACAAGTGATTATATCTAAACTACTTAAAATTCATCTAATTTACAAAAAAAGGGATTCGCAATTGGATGCAAGGGGATGGGCTTACTGCCCTGACCAACACGTATGTTAATCCAAGTGATTATCATGTAGGAAGGAGAGTGATGAGAAAAATCTTGTAAATTGTCAGGAAAAACAAATGCTAATTACTTGTTTACCTTTTATTATTTACGTTTGTTATGCATTTCTTTTAAGGGTGAAATAGGCACATTCTAGTTCTTTTTTTCTTTACAAAGGTTGACAAAACCATAGGAAAATCCAAAATACCTCACTAAAAACATAAAATAAAAACTGATACAACTATACAACATAGCTTTGGCCCAAATCCGAGCAACGCAGCATGACCCGCAAGGCAAAAGAAAAATTATCTGATTGAAGCGAAGAGAACGTTGGGCAACATGCATTGCAAACGCTTGAGATTTCTGTGCTGAAGATGGACTTCCTCGCAGTCTTCAATCAAAACCACTCAACCATACATTTAGGATAGAAACCCGTTTCCGCAGCAACAGAAGTAAGCCCTTGTAGTTCTTTCTGAACTTTACGCCTCTCATAAAACACTGAGCATGCAAGAGAAGTGCATTTGATGCCACTTTCTACAACCCAGTCCCCCCCTCCGCAATGTCGACAAATCTGCAAGAGAAGTCATATCGTCATCGGGCCTTTGGAATCTTTTAAATAAGTATGAAACAATGTAACAGTTAATTTGAAGGACATAAAAAGCAAAGGTTCTAAGAACTGATCAGATTACTTACACCAGCAAGCTGCTGCATCTCCCTCTCCAGTTTTGAAGTTCTTCCAGTTACAGCTACAGCAGCAAAACTTTTGTTTTCACAACATTGATTGCATAGATGGGCTGATGCCTGGACCAACTCACCGCACAAGATACAATGCCTTGAAAGATAGTAATAATCAATTCTGGTTCGGTGCGGATTGGAAGCGTAAAAGAGGCGTTTACCAAAGGCTTCTCTAGCGGGGCGGGGCATATCTGAAAACCACTGGCTCAAGTCAGCTCCAAGAAGCCCAAACACTCGCTGCAAAGCTGGGATTATCTGTTTGTGGATGTAATAAAGATCATTTAATCTGTAGGGGGAATCAATAGCCAAGAGAATCAATGGATCCACCACCAAGTCAACCAGACGGGCCCCAGGCTCCCCATGGATTACAACGTAAGGTACACGCTCTGCATAACGTGGTTCTGCCCTAGGGTCAGTTCTCATAGCTTTTGTGGCAACAATTGCAGCTGGTGGAAGTGACGAAAAAGCACTCGCACGGTAGGTGCCTAGGTGAACCTCCTTTGCAAATACAAAATCTTGAAGAGACACCCTTCCAGATAGAATCCGCTTCCATTGACGCTGTAAGTATGCTCTAACCTGTGTAAAAAACAAAGGTGATCATCTAACCGTGGAAATCAAGTCAACCACCAGTAAAAGCTATTTTAAGGGAAAAAAAAACCTCAGGGCAAATACAAGATATCCATGAAACTAAAGAGGTAACATGGGAACATGGATTGACTTACAACCAATGGACGTCCTATTGTACATAATATTTCACATGCTATTGGGTATGTTTTTTCTTTTGCTCTTCACCCTTGATTTTATCAAACCAGTTCAAGTACAGTCAAAATGAATAGCACATGCTTTTGTACCTCATTCATGTCCTGATGTTCAAAAAAAAGTCTCAAAGACTGCTCCATTGTCTTGGCAACAGCCCCACATGTATCCCTGCGAACCGTCTCAATACCTTTAGCGTCAAAAATAGGTTCAGTCTGTTCAGGGCTTCCATAACTGTAACCAACATAACGCTTTTTAGTAAGGAGGAAGCACGGGCTATAAACTTTTTCCATCTTCAAAGCAATTGGATTTGGATTCATAGCAGTAATTTCAGATGCAATCTCATGTCCAATCTGAAAAGAATCTTCAATGCTGCGTCCCTTTAGGAGAACAAACATGCTGCAAACACAAAAGCCAGTTAATTTGCCCCATTTACATATGAGGGAAAGAGAGAGAAAAAAAGTGATGGAACAATCTCCACTGACCCACAGGCAATTGACATAAATAGACCACATACAACAGTCTAAACTCATGATATGTCATTCTGCCTAATCAAACACACAGTAATGAAAAAGAACAAATCAGAAGAATTTATGTAATTTTTCATCTCATTCATCATAAGAAATCAACTGATACCTGTCTGTGTCACCATAAATAACTCTAGCCTTCCACTTCCCATGTGCATTTACATATGAAATAGCCTTTTCCAATGTACTACGGCCACACTGAACAATACTGTCTGCAATCTCGGCACAAGGCATACGGCCACTAAACCCAGCAGCCGTATAGCCATATGTTACGTTTGATATCAACTTCAGAGCAAGCTGTCTTGCATTAAATATCTGCAGAAGAATGTGATGCTTTATTCAAACCTTTGTGCATGTAAAAGAGCGCAATCCATGGAAAAGAACTTGCTGAGAAATAAGAATATATGGAGGAATCACACAAATTTTTTATTCTATAATGCAACGTACCCTGTGAAGAACTTGCTCTGAAGAAGACAACTTTTTCATAGCTTGTTTAACCATTATTCTCGTTGACAATATTTCCTCTAATAAACGAGGTAGTACACCTTTACGAACCTGTATCACATGATTCACAGCAAATGAAAGTTACTCCCTCTCCTCCCTCTTTTGCATGTATGATCTTTAAAACAGAAACAAATATGACAAGAATACCTTTTCTGGTACATACATAACACCATTGGGAGTCAGCAGAATCTGATCTTTTAAATTATGCAGATCATGGGGATCTGGTGAAAATGAACTGACTCCAAGGATATTTGCCTCTGAAGGCACAACTTTTCCAAGGCATGTAGAATAGCAAAGGTTGTATGCAATAATCATTGATGGATAAAGAGACTGAAAATCCAAAACGACAACTGGATCTGCATAAAAACCAGACTCTGGTTCCATGACAAGAGGTAGGCACTCCATTGCTGGTTGAGAAGCAACCTACATAAGATCAATCATCGTACTATTGGTCACAAGATCAAATAGTGCATGATATTACATCATCCATGACTGCATGAGAATCCAATGGCATAAGAGCAAAGGTAACAACCAAATGCTGAGAGGACAACTAGATCAAAAGTTTTTGAATCCACCAGAGACTTCAAAGGATTTGCAGAATTAATACATGAAGGAAACTATGCATGTTCAAGTGCAAAGACCATAGACCATTCAGATAGCAAAATGCAATACGCCATGAGGCATCATTAGGAGGGAAAAAGACAGAGCAAAAGATAACTCGTAAAAACCTGTTTCGTCCCAGGGGAAATGGCAACATAGTTTTGAGCATGGGCCAATCTCAGAAACATGGATTCAACACGGTATTGTGAACCTCTAGACAGAACTGAAAAAAAGTCAATGCCAAATACACGAGCAAGTTCTGATGTTCGATTTATCTGCAAAAGCATAGCAACACACATACAAGGCATAAATTTTCCCCAACCCTAAGCACATACAGAGGAACCAAGGTAGAACTTAAATACATACCATGTCTAATTGATTCATTATCTCAAGGCTCAGCTTTGCTCTCTCATTTAAGTATTCAATACATCGATATCTGGCTTGTCCAGGGCCACTTGAAAACCATTTCGTCAGTACTTTATTAAGAATATATGGGACTTTTCGCCTCAACACAGCTTGAGCAACAGCTTCAACTGTGTACATATTGAGCTTGACTTCACCACGCATCAGCCGCCAGACGTTAAGGACAATTCTACCGCCAACATGGACACCGCTGGCATGAGTTCTTCCCCATTCATCCTCCACTATTGGATCTAGTACAACTGGATCAGCAATGACCGCCTCATGAATCATTTTTTCTTGTATTGCTTTCTCCGGAACTTCTAAATCTTCAGCCTCCATCTTGGTTTCAGATGGTACCCGAGATATCTTGTTGAGTAAGCCTATACCAAAAAGCGAAGCCCTTTCTGCTAAAAACCCAAGAGAACCACCTTGTATATCCCAACCCATCAAAACATCTGGGTCCAATGAGCATACAATTTTTATAAAATGATCAAATAAGTACTTCTCCTCATGAAAAACCAACACCTTGCAGCCAGAAATTCCATCAAGACTCCTGCAAAAGAAAAGCATAATAAGCTACGGTAAAATGCCAGCTAATGCTACCTAGAAAACTATTAGTGCTAGTTATAGCCTTACAGTTCTCAAATATTACAAAGGTTTTATTGTTTTCCAGTTATTTGGGCATATTTTCCTAAAAATTTAGGGCCACAAATTCCACTAAAAAAGGCATATAAACTTTTCGCTAGTAAATGAATCAACAATTACAAATATCCAAGCCAGGAAGATGCACCGAGTCATACTCAATGTAGGAGAACAAACAGACTAAGGATAAGTATGTAAAGTATCACTACTGATTTTACCTCTGAGAACTTTCAGCTTTACTGTGCAAAAGCACAAAAACTTCAACAATAGAATCACTATCATTCTGAACAGCAAGAGAGATCAAACTGATGGCATCAAACCGAGGATCAGGTCGAAGATCTCCTCTTGATTCTGCTTGAACCTATCGCCCAATGTTGCATTCAAGTTGTATTAGTGCAAATGCTCATAAATTATTTGAACCAGTGCAGGTTACAAGGAAATTTAATGAATTTTTTTCAAACAAAAAGACATATACAAAGGTTAATCACGATATTCTTGTGAACATACATAAAGCAAGATGATAAAGAAAATTTTAAAATAGTACAATACATTAAATAAGCACAAATCTTTTACAAAAAAAACATTTGGATTTGCTAAATCAGATGCAAAATAAATAAAAGGTAGACACTAATTTTTCCTTCTTTTGTTTTGTTTTTTTTCAGATAACATTGTTATATACCTCTACACTTAACAATGTCAGCTGTTGGCCTCCGCCAACACTTGCAGGGTCTCTGAATCCAATCTGACTAAGAGGAGTGGGCTTTGATCTCCTATCTGGACCAGAAATCTGAGAACTATCTTGTGAGTATTCAGAGCATGTTTGAACTTTTACAGCATCTCCTTCTCTTTGCACTATTTCTGTCCTTTCTGTTTCATGATTTCCATGATCCTCTTGAGATCCTTGGTGTAGAATAGGCAGAACATCATCTATAGAACCACATTCAGGTGAACTTTTGTCCCAATCATTAGGCAAATAACTCTGCAGACCAGTGAGATTCCTAGAAGATCCTGAAACATGTTTTACACACTAGATAAGATTTCTACTTTCTAAGGTCCGATACCTTTCAAGAAAACATAGAAATAGTTTATTATCTTCGGATTTACACTTTAATAATGGCATATTGCTCTCAGAAATAATACCTAGAAGTCCATAACCAAAATTTATATCTAAAAAATTCCAAAATGTAATAGGATCAACCAAAAAAATTCTAGGAAATACCTTTTTCATCACTTGACAACCATCTACATACATTTTTGGCAGAAGGGGGTGTAGTTGCAGGTGTTAACAGATACAAGTAAGAGCCATCAGTTTGATAGTGAATAGGTACACCCATAACAGATTCTTGATGAGAACTGGATTCACTTCTGACACACTCGTTCTGAATTTCTGTCTCATCTTGGCAGTCTCGCACAAAAAAGGGGCAAAATTCATCCGTAGCTCTCCCTTGAATAGAAAAAAATATGCAGGTCAGTAATAATTTCTAGCAAGCACTACAACATGACATCAGAGCCACACCAAGTCAATAGAATAAGTTGTAAAACCTAAGCACGTTCAACCAACTTAACGTCAGAGACAGAATCAATGATGAAACAATATTAAAGGATGCAAAGCCCGAGATATTTATGCATATTTCATCAGTCAATAATCAAAAGTTTTCAACTTCCAGTCTATGGGAAACACTTATTTAATCAAATGCTAGTAATACCGTCATATAACCATGAAGCATTTTTAGATTCCCCGTAGTTCCAGTCTGCAACAGGGGGTTTCCTGCAGAAGCTCATTTCAATTAAACCCTTATCATCCGAAGGGATGACCCCAAATGGTGAGTTTCTAAGCCCAGATAAAACAGAGTCAACACCCAGTTTCTGACCACCACTCCCCTTGTTGTTTAGAAAAGCAGCGACAGTTATGGCATTTACACCCACAGGATTCTCAAAAGGCACTTCACACACTCCACCCTTGGAAGATAAGCCTTCAAAAGTTGTTTCAAAAGTTGTGGCATCAGCACATGACATTTGAAAATCTAAACGTTTTGCGCAGAGAAGTGTATCTTCATTTTCTTCCCTCCCCAGAAGAACCTCTTTAATCCCTTGAGAACCACATTCAGGTGGCTCAATTCGGTAGGATCGTTTTCTCCTCATCAAGTCCCTCACAGAGCATCTTGCCAACATACTACTCTCTTTTAAGTCACAAGCACCAGTGCCTGCACGTTTTCCCACCTCATTTTCAGAAGAGGAACTTGTACCAACAGGTTTATTAGTTTCTCTGTATAACTTGACAAGTTCACCTTCTGTCTTCATCTTTTGGGTCGCAGACAAAGGTAAAGAGCCCCATAATGATTTTTTCCTTTTGTGCTTATGATTGAAGCTTGAGCTCGCATCTTGCACCTGGTGATCAGAGGTTCTCAATTCACTCTTCCCCTCTATTTCAGAAAAGCTTCCACTTGATCCATCACAAGGAGTTGAGATAGCATCATCCCCACAACCATCCACCTGGGGAATCACATACTCAGATGAGCGTTTGGAGGAATGGTTCCGATCTGAAGGGTAAGAAGCTTTTTCCTTTCCTCCTTCAAAGTCGATTAAATCACCAACTGAATCAAGGATGTCCTGACACTCCTTTTGGGATTCAGTCTCATAGTCCACATTAGCTTTCTCCAGAACCTTGTCAATGGTTGTTGCAGGCAACAAGGGACTCAGAATTGTTTCACAAACAAGTTCATCATCAGAGTTTATATCATCAGCTGCCTGAGAAGTGGCAAGCCACCTAAGAAGACCCAGTGCTTCATTATCTGCAGCCTGAGTGAAAACATATGGTCCTTATCAATGCAAGAGACAATTCCAACAACCAACTTCTTATTGAAAAACTATGAGTATGCAAAAAATATAACAGAAGGAAAGCTCCTCTAACAACCTGCAAAAGAATTCAGAATTATGCAGGTAGAAACCATTATTAGTGAAAAGTAACATGATTACACCAGTGACACAACTAACTCACAATAAAAACTTCAGTAATGGGAAATACCAAAAACTAGCCAAGCCCCTGCAAAGTCACATGGCCCAGAAAAGTATCGCCAAAGAGTGAAAAATCTTCATCAGCGCTAAAAGAAATGCATGATCAGGATTGTTATACCTTCATATTTATCGTCTCGATCACTTGAGATGCTGGAAGTTCCTTATTCAATGAAAGTTTGGCATTTGAAACCCTTTCTTCAGTAGAATCTTGTGTTGACGGAGATCTAATTATATCTCCATCAGTAAGATTATCAGTTTGGAGTTGAACAAAATTTCCTTCATCTTTTGGAGATGTCATCTGCTCCACAGACCTTACATCTTTCCTTAATTGAGTTCGACACAAAGAACTTTCTGCTTCACCATGCACTTTGATAAGTTTGTTATTAAATTCTAGACCACCTGCTAGAGTTTTCAAAGTATCTTCTGGAAGTGGTCTGGCAGGATCAGGAGGTATTGCCGCCTCATGTATCCCCGTCCTTTCATACTCCTAAGGACCAAAAAACAAAAAACAAAAAACAACAAATGTAAGACGCATAACAATACACAGAGAAATAGCAAATGAATGAGATGAAAGCAAACCTCCCAAATTGGTATAAGTGACTGAACCATTTTCACATCTGAACGAGTTTGCGAGAAGGATGTATATATCTTAAGCTGCTGATTAAGAATCTCTGTGAAACCATGAATGAGTAATGATTTCATCAGCAAAAGAACAGTAGTAAGAAAAGATAAAGCAATAGCTGTGGCATAACTGAGCATCAAAACAAACCATCTACAGTAGCATCCCCCTCAAGTTCACAAATACTTTGACGTTTAATGCAGTTCATATCTGGATTTGAGGAAGCATCAAATTCACCAGGAGAATTCCACGTCCAGTCAACTGGAATTGTGGAAGATATCCAAACAGGTGAACCCAAAGACAGATGGCCATGTATATCTGCCTAATGCAAAATTCCCAAAACATCATACAAGAACATTATTCAACCAAAGTTATATTCATGTGCATCAGAATCCTAGCCAAAAGCATAAATACCAATAATGCCTATCCAAAATTATCATGCGCAGAAAAGACACAAAGTTGACCTGGAAATCAGCAGGCATGCAAGTTGACTTATCTATGTCCTGACTAGGCTGTCCATTGTGAACAGACTTCCTAGGGCAGAAGGCATCTGGTATTGGATGACGGAACTTAATCTTCGATACATGTAGATGACCCATCCCATACAAGTTGTAGTCAACCTACCAAAAAGGAAAGCTCAGATCATAACAACAAACGTTGACAAAAATGAAGCTAGAACACTACAAGAATTAGGTATCTGCGGATCCCACATATCAATGTGCACAATCATGCTTTAGAGCGGACCCTCTACACTACTCTGGGGAAATTTCCACAAGAGATAGTCTTAAATTGTATGAGCCCTGCATAGCTCTTTCTAAACATTTATGAGTTAAAATCAATGCAATAATTAATATGGAGGGAATCATTTACCAGAAACTGGAGAATGAAGGGAATATGAGATTCATGAGGCTGTAAGCATGTATCAAGAACTGAAGTTCCCTGAAAAGCAAGAATTAACAATGATAAATCCTCATTCACCCAGTCAGCTTTATAACACAAGCTAAATCAAGACCATAAAAGAATTTGATTCACAAAAATACATCAATATAATGATCAGTGATCACCAAATTCCAAGTAAACCTACAGGAGGTCAAATTGAAAGCTAAACAAAAAAACTGATAAGAAATCTGTGCAAAGGGTATGATCAGAAGTACGAGGCTCATTTCCATACAAATTGTGTAATAATATAAAAAATTATGTTTTAAGACCTACCAAGAAATCTAGTTTTGGTTGACAATAAAACACATGAAACAAATAAAACAAATAAAAAGAAAGAATCAGAAGCATCTAGTCAATGACAACTACAATAAGAACTTATGACCTCCAATGAAATACTTCCACAGAAAAAAAGTCCTAAATAAAAACCAGAGTGTTCACTACTTTACGAACTAAAAAAATAACATTTGGTAGCATATAAAGAAAACTTCACATCAGAGAAACCAATAGCCACGGCAAAGGAGGAAAAGAGCTCCAATATGCCAGCAGTCAAAACCCAACAGTAACAATAATTAATCTCAAACAGCCACCAATTATAAGTAAGATGTTGAAGAAGAGCACCAGAAGAAGATTGGCAGCACGAGAGACATCATGTGGATAGTAGCTTAGTTTCTAGTCAAGGTGTTCAATAACAGACTCCTGGCTACTAAGAAAATAAATTCATAAAAACAAGATTAGGATACAGGTATATCTTCACAAACACCTCCTCTGATGAGTGGTAACCATAAAGCTTCCTTGCCTGGACAAGGCTGCAACTATGCACATGTTGCCGCTTTGAACCAGCATTGCCTTTGAGCTGTAAGTGTTACCAAATTCATTGATCCGTGGTTTCAGTACCAGACATGTGAAGCAGAGAACCATACCAAACAAAATGCATTGCAGACTAGCACTCAATCAATTTAACGAGGCATACCTTCAAAGCTTTCTCTATAGCAAGAGATATATCATGTGTGTATGAATCACCTGTGCAATCAAAACAACGGGGAAAATAATATATAATTATATTCATGTATCAAATGTGACTATAAAAAATAAAAGCATAACTACAAAGAAAAATCAAACTTAGAAAACCCTGAACTCATTAGAAAAACGTAGGCAGAAATATATACTATGTTAAACGGAGCTTTCTCAAAAACAAAATGCCAACAAAGCCTTCTTCACCCCTTCCAACTGGGATTGTATTTTTGGCGCTAGCCTAGTTCTAAGCATACTAAGTACCTTTCTCGTGCAGCTGAATCGGTATATCGGCGCATGGCACATATAGATATGGTAACGCCTGCACATAACAAATTAGCCCCAAAAACACAATAAGAAACCCGTAAATTAGAAAAAAAGGAATTAATAAGCAACAGTCTAAATCTTACTCGATGAATGTGCAAGCAAGTTTTCTGGCCAGCCGGAGTAGAGCCGAATATTCGTATAACGGGCACCTCATTCACCTTCCCACCTTCATAAAATTTTTAACAAAAATAATTTACGTTAATGTCAAAACCATAGCACCGTGTTTGGTGACGCAGAAAATTAACTAGAACATCCACTCACTCAGTCAAACCTTAAGCCTGAGTTTGGTTGCAGAAATTATGAATGAATTTTTTTGAAATCTAAGTTCAAATGAAACACATTAGTAGCCAAGTGAAGGAAACAGTGGCTATGAATTTAAGCAAATTGACCGTACGGCATCGTTTCACGGAGGGTTGGGGGAATGGTACCTTGGAAGCTACTGTAAGAGATATCGACGCCTGGGATCGGAGGCGCCATGTAGTAATCGACGGAGACGATCCGAACGCTGAAAGCGTCCGAAGCCGCCATTGGTTTTCACCAAAATTACGGAAATGCAACTGCTTGGGGGCAAGGGTGGTCAATTGACCCCTGGAAACCCGGAAAACGCCATGGAAGGTAAAGAGGTTTGACACCCGGTCGTTTTTGAGTGCCCAGCAACAACTGCTCGATGAAGTATATCTCCCTATAATTTTTTTAATTTTCAAGTATATGATACTATTTTTAAGTAATTTATGAAATTAATTAAAATATTTAAATACTAATTGTTCACTAAAGAAATAATATTTAAAGCATATAGCCGCGCGGCTATACTATTCAAATACCCGATTATCCTGAAAGCGTGTAGAATATATTACGAGTGTATAGCCGCCCGGCTATACGATTTTAATATTCGAATACACTGAAAGAGTATCGCCGGTCGCCTATACTATTTAAATATTGGAATAAGCTGATACTGTATAGCCGCGCGGTTAGACTATTTAAATATTCTAATATATTGACAGAGAGTATCGCCGCCTGGCTATACTATTTAAATATTCGAATATACATACTAAGTATAGCCCAACGGCTATACTATTTAAATATTCGAATATATTGAGAGCGTATAGCGGGCTGGCTATACTATTTAAATATATGAATATATTGAGAGAGTATAGCCGTGCCGCTATGCTATTTAAATATTCAAATACAATGAGAGAATATAGCCATCCGGCTATAATATTTAAATATTTGAATATATTCAAAGAGTATAACTGCGCTGCGATACTATTTAAATATTTAAATATACTGACGTAGTACAGCCGCGCGGCTGTACGCGGCTATAAGATTTGAATGTATGAATATATTGAGGTAATCGTATAGCCGACCGGCTATACTGTTTAAATATTCAAATATACTGACAGAGTAGGGCCGTCCGGCTATACTATATATTCGAATATACTAACAGAGAATAGCCGCGCTGTAATACGATTTAAATATTCCAATAAATTGTGTAAGGGGGTCATTTCCATACAAAATTGTGTAATCATATATAAAATATGTTTTAAGACATACCAAGAAATCTAGTTTTGGTTGACAGAATAATTTAATCTCGCAAGAGCTGTGGCTGATGAAGAAACAGAGGCGAATTTTTATAAAGGAGAAGGCCCATTTGCTGACCAGAGGGTTCTTTCTGATCTGGACAAAGACGGAGTTCTTGGACTTGGGCTAAGAGTTGCCAAGCAGATACCTTCAAGTTCTGCAATTGGAGAAACTGGCGTGCAGCCCATACTCTTGTTTCATGAAAAACTATAATACTCTGGTTTTGATGGATCATTAATGTAATGGTAGCAATGATATATAAAGAGGTATTACTAGCTCTGTTTGATGCAGGACTTGCCAGTCTGCTTTTGTTGTTTAATTTGATACCAATGAAATCTGATTGTTGAATGTCTCTTGGTTCTTAATTATGTGTCATGACTCATGATCTATTTGACTTTGGACTAACTTGAAAGCTGATAAGTTCTGGATATTATTGATATGCTCATGTATGGCTACTGTCTTGTCTTTGATCGAGGCAGCACTTACGCAGCTGGTAGCTGAGATTATGTGTGCAGATTTTGCCCATGAAGTAATTTCAGCATGTGTACCTCCAGTTTATCCCCGACGATCCTAATGAGACGTGATTTAGTTTCCTGTTTTATTTGTATTTATTTCATTGATTTTCTGTATATATTTCTTGTCTCTCGAGGACTTGATTCTTGCCTAGAATAGGAAATCCTTTGTGTAGACACCAAGCAAAGCATTGTATATAATTATCATTCAATGAAAATCATCGAGAATATTCAAAACCTTTCAGATCCATGGTCATGGATGGGCTTGCATACACATAGTAAACACATGAACAATTTCTGAATTTATTCATACAACAAAAAAAAACATATCGAGCCAAAAGAGAAGGATGAGTAAAATTTACAAAATAGAGAAGCATTAGATGTTGACACTGTTGGGAATTCCCTTGCCAGTAAGTCCAGGCTCACTAGAAGGATAGAGCAAAGTGTATGGGATCTTGGCCGGTCCAACTCGGTTCTTCAATTTCTCATCCTTGTTCATTTTTATAATTCTTTTCTCAATTCCTTCCAGCTTCTTTCTAAAATCCTCAGAGGCTTGCAACATGTCTGCATCTGTTGTCCATTCTGAGGTGCCTCTCTGCCCCAGATAAAGCTCATCAACTGGGTGCCTTGATAAGATTTCTATGGAGGCCATGCCAAGCAAGGTCTGCAGCTGAGGTGTAAATGTTTTCAAGAATGCCTTGTCAGGGTTGGTTTTGAGCTCCTCATACTCAGGAGTGCCTTCTTCCGGCATGAAGTGCAGGCTTATGGTTGGCCGGTTCGGGATGTATCCACCTATAGAGTACTGGCCATAGTTGATTGCTGCATGATAGGCTGAAGAGAGCCATATGATAATGGTGCATGATTCTATCAGCTCTTCACAAGTCTGCATTTTAGGCCACCATGGTTCATCTTTCTTGTCACCATGACCTTCCTCTCTGAGTTCCTTCCACCAAGACTGGAGTTCTGAGTCATTTTGAACCATTTCATCATTTTTATAGTAGAAGGAGCAATACTCTTTAACCCATGTTTTAATTGCAGACCATATCTCAAGCCCATCAGCAGCATATGGATAGTCCTCTATCAGTAAGCGTACACTATGTGACGATTTTGGATCTTCAACTGCCATTCCTCTGAACATAGCAAAGGGTAGATAATTAAAAACCATCAAGCCTGTCATCTTTGTTGTTTTTGAGAATTGAGTTTAGAACATAATGACGGCATTCATCAAATCTTTTAGACCCTTTAACTGTATTCATTTTTCCCTGTAACATTGTGTCTTAGCTCTAATATTTGAGTTGCATCCATTGCCGAAATTTTTAGATGAAAAACGTTATGGTCATAAGATTTTACCTTTTGATGAGATCCACGGGAAGTGCTTGTTCAGGAAAGACCCAGTTCTTGTACATTACAGACGACCATTCCATTGAAAACTTTGCAGGAAAGACTGTTTCCTCTATAATTCCACCGGCATTTGTAAGAACCTCTCTAGCTATTGCGTTTGCATTCATAGTTTCACGAAAATGAGGATGCAGAAGTTATGAATTGGGTGAAGCACGCTCAACTGCCGATTTGCTGCTATCACAAACGGTTCAATCACTGCATGAGTTTTTAACCTGCAACACAACAAGAACATATTCAAGATGCATTTGGGGAAAAATGTTTGGTTGCCATGCTTTCTTTGACAGTGTTATACCAGTGGCTGATGAGCTGATGATGGCCAGAGTCATTTACATTCACATAAGCTTTAGCAAGTTGCCAAATGGAACTCTCGACGCCCTGGCTAGAGGGAGTATAGACTTTGCTAATGCAGCCAAATTGATCTCCATCAGGATGTGGCAAGCTTAACTCAATAGCTAATGGCTTCAAAGTCCCATCATTTTCTAAGAAAAGGAGTGTTCTGCTTGAATAAGTTTTTGTGGAAGTTGTGTTTATACGCCTCAGGTACGGCATCAATGCATCATGGTGGTCTAATATGAATAGCTTGTTGTTCTTGATTGCCTATAACACCAAATACTTTTCAGTAATTATTTTCGAATAAGAATATAACAAGAACATATGTTGAATTAAATAAGTCAGTAGCATTACCTCATCTATGCTCAGTCCTTTTAAGTTATGTTCTATGTGTTCTTTGGTTATTTGACTTGTTTGATCCCCATATGCTTTTTGGTCTAGCTTGCTAGCAGGTGGAAATTCCTGCAGTTTATTCAGGAATAACAATGATTAAGGATGAAAGTCAAAGTAATATAAATTCAAATGTAGCTTCGAGTTTTCCATTTTCTTAAATAAAATAAAATAAAACAAATGTACACAATAGATCACGAAAGCTTAAGATTACTTGGAGACGACGAATGGCGACAGGATTTACTCCAGCCAGCATTTCTCTTGCAAATTCTTCATCAGTTCTCCATGCCGACTTATTGTCTAGTAAAAATCATTAGAAGACCAGAGTCAGGTAAAAGAAAGCAGTATATATGAAGGCACATAGACTGGTAAACTATATACCTTGGATCACTTGAGGCACTGGGAATTTGAGGAATTTTCCACCATCAGTTCGAAAAAGTTCCTTGAACAGCTCTTCATGTATGCTATCCCTAATATATTTTAGTATACCATCAGGCAACTCTATACCTCCTTCATAGAGCATAAGTACTTCTTGCATGTTGTTGAACTCATTGTGGCTGCCAACAAGTAGAGCTGCTAGCTCAGGTTTAAGGACCTGAGGTATGGTTTTCAAACCATAAGCAAGCAAGTCTGACAATTTTAAGGGACCAAATCTTTCGTCTCTTGGAACGTATATATTTAGGCTCATAATAAGCTTCAGCTGGCTCTCAGTGTTAGGATCTATCAAAACAAAATCAGAAAATTCTTCATGACAACCATTCTTTCTGAATGAGCTAAAAGTAGTAGAAATCCATATTTCCTGTTTGTCATTTCTAAAGACTGAAACAATACCAAGTTTATCAACTAACCTGTCTCAGTTGGTGGTCTTCCTGTTCTTCCCCTGCGAGGATAAGGGAACTCACTCGACCCTCCGAGAACTGGACGGGCATACTCCTGACCCTTATCTGGATTCCCCCAAATCATTGTAATAGGCATAGTCATAGACCCTGTCCCATTCCTGAAGCTCTCTTGTTTTATCATCATCATCTCCTCTCAAGTTTACTAGCTCTTCTTCTCTGAATTTCTGTAGTGGCTTTGGTGTGTCACTTGAAAGATAAGTCTGCACAAATATACAAATCAACCTACTAGTTTACCATTTTCAGTATTTCTAGCAGTCCATAAATTACAACTAAATGAGTTTGTCTTAATGGACTTCAATCTCTCTCTCTCTCTCTCATGCGTGATTAATGAGTTGCATTAGAACTGCATTCTTTCATCCTACAAACTTTTACCTTGTTTGCGAAGAAAATGCGGTCTTTTTTGTACTTGTCAGCAGGGTACACCCATGAGTTGCAGACAAAGTGGATTTGACCTTCACCAGGAACATCTTCAAGCGTGAGAGTCTTCAAGTAAAACTCACTGTGATGATCATTTCTAATTATAATGCTCCTGGGACCCCAATCTCCTCATCCCAATCAAAAGTAATATCAAATGCAGAGTCCCCTGCTGTTAAGGGGGTGATTGTGGTAATCCAATTTTCCAAATATGCTGGCTTTCCAACTTTTCCTGGGGACCCCTTTTCTACAAAAGGAGATCAAATGAAAAATGGATTAATAGATGTTCAATTATAAAACCTCCAAATACTGGTTCTTTTTTCTCTGTTCTAAATTGAGATGTTCTGTTTTCTCTTTTGAGGTTCTGGTACTAACAACTACAAGTAACTTGGAACCATTAAATAAGCATGGATGCTAACAAATTAACAAGTGAACTAGAAGCCTATGTATCTATGAACTTAAAAGACAAAGTAGTATTCAGCTCTCACCAGGGTCACCATTGACAGAACTAATGAACTGCAGAGAAACCGCTTTGCCTACCAGCTCACCAACACGATCGAGAACCGATGCTGTAAGGTCGTTCAAGTCCAGAACATTCTTCTTCATCAACACCACCCTCCCTTTGATCTTCTTGCCCTCATATTTGGGCTGTGGATCAATGGTGTTGTTCTGGGATGCCTTGGCAGCTGTTGAAGCGAAAGGAAACGGTTGAGATCGTGTAACATCATCCATGCTCAAGAAACCAGGCAATTTAGGCAACAGTAGTGGCCTGTGATTGACTGATGTGAGGTTGTTGGGTGTTGCTACTGCAACTACTTTTCTCTTGAAGCTCGAAGGGGATAAGAGATGCTTGCAATGTAGCATCTTCTATCTGATTCAAGAACTAAAAGAACTTATTAGAAGATGGTTTGAAGATCTCAGCATAAAGAATATGAGAGGGGTGTGTGTTGTATTTATTAAGGTCAATGAGTTCATTAATTGTTCAATATATAGAACAGTAGTATAGGTGACCATTTCTTTTAAAAAGACTCGTATACCACTTGCCCTGCATGTGGCTGTCTTTTCGAAGTTACCAATCCAATCCAGCTACGTTTTCCTCCATTTCTGTGGTTGACTTAAGGACCCCGTCCTTTTCTATGGATTATATGATTCAAGAAATCTCGCAAGGGCTTGTAGTTCAAGTAATTAAGAATATTTAATAATGTATCCTAGGTTTTAGGTTCGATTCTTCCCGCCCCAATATTTCTTTGTATCAAAAAAACCTCAACCCAATTTTTTTCTTGGTGAATACCTCCAACCCACTTGACCAAATAACCAAATATAGACAAATTTTAGCAATACTTGATTCTCTAATAACACTTGTATTTGTTGAACAACTCCTGTTGTCCTTCTCTGTTGTCATTTTTGCATGTTAGCTAGTTGTTATTCTTTTTACTCCATCTACAATCTCCACCGCCCCAACAGAATTTCAACTCCTCTGTTTTGTAGTTATTAGTTGTTCAAACCCTCTTTGTTTATGTCTTTTGCTTTTCTATTATTTGCCATGTGTATGCATTGTATTGGATGATTTCAATTATGCTCATACTCAGGCTTAAAATGTAATTAGCCAAGACCAAAAAACACGTCCTTACCTTATCACGTAGTTGACAGAAACTCGTTCTTTCAACAAGTGCCCAAACAATTAGCTAAGATTAAAAACAACATCAGAATGGAGGTCGACAAGCGTTCACCTGAAGACTGGAGCATTCTCACTATGTCCTTTTTCAGAAGCGCGTCTCTCTCTCTTCTTCTTATTCTTCCCTTTTGTTGGCCTTCTTATCAATTTACTGAAAAGAAAATCATTGATCACTGTAATATATTGTCTCTCTCTCTTCTGCTGAACCAAATAACTCTTACATTTTGATCATAGATATCTTATGAAAAATAAAATTATGGTAAGTATGCAAGCTCACATGGGTGTTGTAATTCTTGGTTGGTGTGTTTGGGCCACTCAGATAAGTAAAACAACCAACTCTGAAATACAAGTAAAAGGGATTAGACTATTTTAAATTGTTAAGGCTGTTGTGTATGAAATTCAACAATTTCATCTCTGTGTCATATTTTCTGTTTAATTTTCCGTCATAAGTTATTCCATTCATGAGATTTATAAAATATGATTATTACTATGATAATTACGTAAATGAACAAAGCATTCTTACCTATGAGTCTTGATATTGTTTTTTCACGGCAACAGATTTGCAAGAAGCTTGGTCGATGCTGAAATCTACTTTAGACGAGTATGACATTTCATGTGAATTGGATGTGGTATGTTATAATAAATGTTTGTAAATTTATTGACTTTTGTAAACATGAACTATGGATCAGTGGTTTTTTTTTCAATCTATGTATGGTTTTGTGCTCATATTGATTACTTTAGTTATGCACATATTAAGTTTTTTTTGTTTTTTTTTATTTTTTATAAATCATGGTTAGGATGAGAATGTCATCACATTCATGACAACCAAGGCAAAGGACCCATATGCTATTCTCAAGGCTAGATATCTTGTTCTACTTTGTCAGCAGAAGTTCCTCATCAAATAATAGGGTCCCCTATGATTTTTTTTTCAACAATCTAAATCATCTATTTTTTAAGTCTATATTCATAGATCATCCTTGCAAAAAATTAGACAAATCCCGTTTCGACACCCAATTGTGTCCTACAAAATCAATGGACACAGTGCTTCAAGAAAATACTTGAATTTCAATAATTTAATTGAGTGATCAAACGATATCGGATTTAAGTGATTTTCTGTAAAGATGAGTGTCCCTCAAATAAGCTAATTTGAAGGATCCCTCAATGGAAGTTGTGTGTGTGTGTATAAAGGTATTGTACACTATAGCCAATTTATTTACAAAGCGTTATTGCGACTGTAATATTGTAGTTCATATTACACATAAAGAATGCATTAATTATAGTTAACTATACTAATAGCAGCTTCAAAGGCTTCCCACTTAGATTGAGACACTGTTGGGAATTCCCCTGCCAGTAAGTCCTCCTTCGCTTGTAGGAAATAGCAAAGTGTAGGGCACCTTCACCGGTCCAACTCGGTTCTTCAGTTTCTCATCATTGTTCATACTTGTAATTCTGTCCTCAATTTCAGCCAGTTTCTTTCCAAATTTATCAAAGGCTTTCAATGGTTCTGTGTCTGCTGTCCATTCAGGAGTGTCTCTCTGCCCCAAATACACTTCATCAGTAGAATGCCTTGACAGAATTTCAATAAGGGCAATGCCAAGCACTGTCTGCAGCTGAGCAGTAATTGTTTTCAAGAAAACTGTATCGGGGCTGGATTCGAGCTCTTTGTACTCAGGAGTTCCCTTCTCAGGCATGAATTTTCGGCTTATAGTAGGGCGGTTGGGGAGGTAGCCTGCATAAGGGTACTGTCCAAAGTTGACAGCTGCATGGAGAGCAGAAGCAGTCCATATGATGATAGTGCATGTTTCTACTAGGTCTTCGCGAGTCTGCATTTTAGGCCACCAGGGCTCATCTTTTTTGTCACCATGGCCTTCCTCTACAAGCTCCTTCCACCAGGATTGGAGTTCAGTGTCTTTTTGAATTATGTCATCAGTCTTGTAGTAGAAAGAGCAATAGTCTTCAACCCAAGTTTTAATTGCAAACCAGATTTCAATCCCATCAACAGCATATGGATAGTCCTCGATCAGTAGGCGAATACCATGTGGAGAATTTGCATCCTTGACCGCAACTCCTCTGTTGATCAAAGGCAAAGCAATGTAATTAGAATAAGAAATGGATATTTATTACTTATATTGTGCTCATTTGAGTTACTTATGTGAGCAGTGGCTAATAACTCACAAAGTGTAGAGTTTTGTTTACCTCTTGATGAGATCTTCAGGGAAAGCTTGCTCAGTGAAAACCCAATCCTTATAAACCACTGATGACATCTCCATGGCATACCTAGCTGGAAAAACTGTCGTCTCCAGAACGCCGCCAGCATTAATCAGGATTTGCCTGGCAAATGCATTTATGTTCATGGTGTCACGGAAGTGAGGATGCAGAAGTTTGTAAATTGGATGAACCACGCTTAGCTGCCTGTTTGTAGCTATTACAACTGGCTCACACACTGCATGGGTGTTCAACCTGTAGCCAAAAGATTAAAGGATTATCAGAAACCCAATTCAAAGTAATATGATGAATTAATTTTAAAGCTTTCTTTGTTTGAAAGATTAATACCAGTGACTGATAAGTTGATGATATCCAGAGTCATTTACAGCCACATAAGCTTTAGCCAGTTGCCATATGGAGCCTTCTACACCTTCTTCAGCTGGTGTATATACTTTACTAATGCGACCAAATCGATCTCCATCAGGATGAGGCAAGCTTAATTCAATCACCAATGGCTTCAAAGTTCCATCACTTTTCAAGAAAAGGATTGTTCTGCTAGCATAGATCTTGTTCGAAGTTGAGTTTATCCGCCTCAGGTATGGCATCAATGCATCATGATGATCTAATATGAATAACTTGTTCTGCTTGAATGCCTATCCAACCAAATTCATTTTCATCATTATGAAATGATATAAAATCAACATAAGCTAATTGCAATGTAAAGTAAGCAAATCCAAGATATTACCTCATCCACCGGTAGTCCATCCATGGTATTCCCTATATCTTGTTCTGTTATTGTACTAGTTTGATCACCGTAAACTTTTGGGTCTAGTTTGCTTGCTGGTGGAAATTCCTGCAGTTCCGTTAGAAGCAAATATGGTTAAAGATGAACGAAATTGACCCTCGAAATTTTTGTTTTCTTTTTTTCCATTATCATTGCAAAACATCATACAAAAATGTTGAAGATTACTTGGAGACGACGGATGTTGACAGGGTTCACTCCAGCCAGCATTTCTCTGGCAAATTCTTCATCTGTCCTCCAAGCCGATTTATCCTCTGCTCCAAATCATTAAAACATCCACAATTAGATAAAAGGAACAAGTACATGATATGGTAGGCTATTGCTTAAAAATTCTCAATTTAGAATTTAATATTTGTGGAACCATATACCTTTGATCACTTGAGGCATGGGGAATCTGAGCAATTGTGCACTGTCAGTTCGGAAAATTTCCTTGAGCATCTCTGCAGGGATGTTGTCTCCGATATCCTTCAATAAACCTTCTGGCAAGGGAATGCCTCCTTCATAGAGTTTAAGAACATCCTCGAAGCTGTCAAACTCGTTAGGAGTCTTATCAAACAGGGCTTCTAGCTCTGGTCTAATGAATTGAGCTATGGATTTCAGTGCATAAGCCAGGAAGTCTGACAACTTCAAGTGTCCAAATCGTTCATCTCTTGGTACATAAATGTTTAAGCTCATAAGAAGTGGCAACCTACTCTCGCTGTTAGAATCTATTGGAATAAGATCAGAAAAATCTTAGTGATAATTACAACATCAGTTATTTAAAATCCAAATTAGAATATCAACTTTTACAGTAAAGCAATACAAAATAATATTATGATCCCTCTTGTGACTGCTAATCAATGCTTTGAGGAACAAAATATAGAGAGAGATATTTAAATGGCTAACCTGTCTCTGTCGCTGGTCGGCCAGTTCTTCCCCTGCGAGGGTAAGGGTACTTACTAGACCCTCCCAGCGTAGGACGGGCGTATTTAGGACCCTTATCAGGGTTCCCTAGATCATTGTAGTAAGCATAGTCATAGACCCTGTCCCATTCCTGGAGCTCTCCCTTTCCATCTCCTCTCAAGTGTACTAGTTCTTCTTCTCTGTATTTTTGCAGTGGCAACGGTGTTTCACTGGGGAGAAATGTCTGCACAAATATATTGCAGGCATGAACTTTAGTCTTTAACTTACAATACAAGTCACTAATATACTCATAACATACTAGGCTTGCACTAAGAAGTTAGAACTGCCATCAGCTACAATGAATGGTGTGAATTATTTGTTACCTTGTTAACGAAGAAAACACGGTCCTTCGTGTATTTTTCTGCAGGATACACCCATGAGTTGCAAACAAAGTGGACCCGGCCCTCACCAGGAACATCTTCAAGGGTGACAGTCTTAAGGAAGAATTCAGTGTGATGATTGTTTATTATTAAGAAGGCTCCTGGAACTCCTATTTCGTCTTCCCAGTCAAAGGTAACCTTGAATGCAGACTCTCCCGCTGTTAAAGGAGTGATTGTGGTGATCCAGTCTTCCAGATATGCTGGCTTGCCAAGTTTCCCCTGAAACCCTTTTTCTACAAAAACACGTTAGTTCAGAAAATAATTCCATATCAGGTCTTAGTTGGAGCCCGCCATTTTATGCAAGTTGCTATAATTGTCAATGCATGTCAAGGTCTCATAACTCATAAACTTAGTTTGGGATATAACTGCCGCTGTTTTTTCAGAACATTCAAACACATCCCAAAAAGAATTGGTTCTGAATGAAAACCATATAATCTAAAAGTCTCAAAAGCTTTGCCAATCGCCAACTACATGGAGCTTCATTTTCAGGTTAACTGGTAGCTAGACTGGTAGTTGGCGTTCAAAGGTAAGGATAAGATTAACTTTCCTGTCTAATCACTTCATGACATGGCCATGATTTAAAAATCATTTTCACAAGCCTTATGCCACTTACTGAAAACTAAACTGGTTTTTTAATCATACTTTTTGTAACCCAATTTTCCAAATATGCTGGCTTTCCAACTTTTCCTTGCGACCCCTTTTCTACATAAACAGATCAAATTCAAGAAATGTTCAATTACAAGACCTCCAGATCAAATTGAGATGTTCTGTTTATCTCTTTTGTGGTTATGGTGTTAAGATGTGTGAAAACAGCATTAAATCCCATGTAAAATCATTGAAGCTAATTAATCTAGAAGTAAACTAAAAGGCAAATAGCACTCACCAGGTTCACCCTTAACGGAACTAATGAGCCGCAGAGAAACCGCTTTGCCTAACAGCTCATGAACACGATCAAGAACCGATGCTTTAAAATCGTTCAAGTCCAGAACATTCTTCTTCATCAACACCACTCTCCCTTCGATCTTCTTGCCCTCATGACCTGTCTCAAACTTAGTTTTCTCTTCCTCCATTTCTTTGGGGTGTGGATCAATGGTGATGTTCTGGGATGTCTTTGCAGCTGTGGAAGCCGAAGTCAACCGTTGAGATCGTGTAACATAAGTCATGCACAAGAAACCAGGCATTTTCATAAAACTCATCGGCAACAGAACTAGTCTGTGATTGACTAATGTGACATGATCTGGTTTGTTGACTGTTGCTGCAACAACTGAGTTCAACTGAGCTCTACATGGAGCTTTTGTCCTGAATTTCATCAAAGGAGTGAGATACTTAAAATGCAGCATCATTGTTCTGCTTCAAGAACTATAAAAAGTTAACAGAAAAAGGTTTGAAGATCTCATTGTGAAGAGAATGGTGTGTGATATTTATGAGATGTGCGAGTTCACTGTTCAATGTATATAATAATATAATACATAAAAAGAAATTTTTTTTTTAAAGACTTCGGCTCTACTTGCGTGGTCTTCAGGGTTGACTTAAATACCCAGTCCTTTTCTATTTTTTGTGATTCAAGGTAGCTTCCACCCTCTTTACCAAACCAACAGATATAGAGGTCATATTCTGCAGATTTAACCTCTAGGAATCTTGAGTATCCTTGTTAATCCCAAGTGTGTGTTTGGGATTTGTCTTTGATTGTGCAAAACATTGACAAACATACAATTATAGGCTAGACTTCATTGTATCCATAAGACTTATTTGCATCTCCCTTTTGCACACAAATAATGAGGGAAAATAAAGTCTGAAAAATAGCTTAAATCTTACGTGCCTTGAAACAATCTTTCATCCTCTCATTATCATTCCTCATAAACATTTCCATTAAGCCATGACCCACAGACCTTGTATCAACAAAATTTAGCCAATCTGTCATATTAGAAAATAACTTCACTGACATGACTATGTGAGTGATGCATGTCGACACCATAACTATAAATCAAATATTAAAATCCCCACCCACAAGGTAGGTTCTTCTGTACCTGAAATATTAATAATATATGCAAATTCTTGGAAGCGGTCTTAATGTCAATGGGAAATGCTAGATAGTTTACTTGCAAGAGGTATGAACACATGATAAAGAATGCAAAATCCTTGCCAGTCGTGTTTCCTATTTGTGCCACATCATCGCTCATTATAGGGCAGTCAAATTGGGTATGCTTCAAAGTCAAAATACCCTCTACACGCTATTAAGAGTCAAGTTACCCCCCAAACCCCGTTAATCTCGAGAGATTTTAGGTCCCTAACTCTATTGATCATACAGTAACCGAGCTCTGTTGGCAATGTGTATTGCAGACCTGCATAACAAGAACATGTCTGAGAGGGAGGGAGAGAAGCATTTGAGCATTTGAGCTAGTCGGCATTCTTTTATACTTATAGCACTAATGTCGAAGGAGAAAAATGAACTTTGTGGCTCCACTGGTGCCAACAAAAGAAGGCGCATTGCTGCAACAAACTGCATTCAAGGTCTGTAGAGAGACTGAGAGAAGCATGGAGAAGCCGGAAGTTGTACATAGACCGCTCCCCAGTAAAGATGAAGACAAGGCAAAGAAAAGTAGAATTGACCAACTTATAGATTAGTGAACAAGGAAATAGCATAAAACCGATGAGTACAAAGTGCAAATCCTTTATTTATTATGTCTTTTGTGTTTATATTGGTCATGTGCAATTTGCTGATGGATGTGGTACTTTCATGTACTTGGCAATGTAAAATTTTCACAGTACCCATTTTTTGATTTATTCTGACAAAAAAAGAACACACACACACACACATACATATATATATGTATGTATATGGCAAGCTAAGAATAAGATGAGTAAATAACAAACTGGAGAAGCATTAGATTGAGACACTGTTGGGAATCCCCTTGCCAGTAAGTCCAGCCTCACTAGAAGGATGGAGCAAAGTGTATGGCATCTTGGCCGGTCCAACCCGGTTCTTCAATTTCTCATCCTTGTTCATTCTTTTCATGTTTTCCTCAATTTCTTCCAGCTTCTTTCTAAACTTCTTAGAGGCTTGCAATATGTCATTGTCTGTTGTCCATTCGGGCGCATCTCTCTGCCCCAAATAAAGCTCATCAGCTGAGTGTCTTGACAAGATTTCTATGGAGGCCATGCCAAGAAGGGTCTGCAGCTGAGGTGTAATTGTTTTCAAAAATGCCTTTTCAGGGTTTGTCTTGAGCTCCTCATACTCAGGAGTGCCTTCTTCGGGCATGAACCGCAGGCTTATACTTGGCCGGTTTGGGGGGTATCCACCGAAAGGGTATTGCCCAAAATTGATTGCTGCATGATGGGCTGAAGCAATCCATATGATGATGGTGCATGATTCTATCAGCTCTTCACGAGTCTGCATTTTAGGCCACCATGGCTCGTCTTTTTTGTCACCATGACCTTCCTCTCTGAGTTCCTTCCACCAGGACTGAAGTTCTGAGTCCTTTTGAACCGTTTCATCAGTTTTATAGTAGAAAGAGCAATAGTCCTTAACCCATGTTTTAATTGCAGACCAGATCTCAAGCCCATCAGCAGCATATGGATAGTCCTCTATCAGTAAGCGTACACCATGTGAGGAATTTGGATCTTCAACTGCCATTCCTCTGAACAGAGCAAAGGTTAGATAAATAATGGCCATCAATCCTATCATCTTTGTTATTTTTGAGTTTAGACAATAGTGACAACATTTATCAAATCATTTAGACCAGATTTTATTCATACATATGGCATTGTGTCTTAGCTCTTATTTCCTCAAAGGGCATGCTTTTCCATTTCAATTGTGTTGCATCTGTTACCATAATTCGAAAATGATTAATGTTACTGTCAGAAGATTTTACCTTTTGATCAGATCTACGGGGAGTGCTTGTTCAGGAAAAACCCAGTTCTTATACATTACAGAAGACCATTCCATTGAGAACTTTGCAGGAAAGACTGTTGCCTCTAGTATTCCTCCCGCGTTAATGAGAACCTGTCGAGCGACTGCATTTACATTCATAGTGTCACGAAAGTGAGGATGCAGAAGCTTATGAATTGGGTGCAGCACGCTCAACTGCCTATTTGTGGCTATCACAAATGGTTCCATCACCGCATGAGTTCGCAACCTGCAACAAAACAAGAACATTTCAAGATGCATTTGAGAGAAACAAAAAAGTTACGAATTTATTTGCAAGGATTTCTTTAACATTGTTATACCAGTGGCTGATGAGCTGATGATAGCCAGAGTCATTTACATTCACATAAGCTTTAGCAAGTTGCCAAATGGAACTCTCGACGCCCTGGCTAGAGGGAGTATAGACTTTACTAATGCAGCCAAATTGATCTCCATCAGGATGTGGCAAGCTTAACTCAATAGCTAATGGCTTCAAAGTCCCATCATTCTCTAAGAAAAGGAGTGTCCTGCTTGCATAAGTTTTTGTGGAAGTTTTGTTTATACGCCTCAGGTATGGCATCAATGCATCATGGTGGTCTAATATGAATAGCTTGTTGTTCTTGATTGCCTATTACAGAAAATGCTTTTCAGTAATTATCTTCAAAAAAGAATATATGATTGCAAAGCCACCTGAGGACTACTTGCTTCAAACTCAATTTTGAAAGAAGCAACTCAATAGTATTACCTCATCTATGCTGAGTCCATCTAAGTTATGTCCTATGTGTTCTTTGGTTATTTGACTAGTTTGATCCCCATATGTGTTTTGGTCTAGCTCGCTAGCAGGTGGAAATTCCTGCAGTTTATTCAGAAGTAATAACGAAACGATGAGGATGTAGAATCAGAGTAAACATACTTCAAATGTAACTTCTCTACTATTCCATTTTCTTCAAAAACAACTGTAGACAACAGATAATGAAAGCTTAGGATTACTTGGAGACGACGTATGACGACAGGATTTATTCCAGCCAGCATTTCTCTTGCAAATTCTTCATCAGTTTTCCATGCTGACTTATCCACTAATACAATACAAATCATTAGAAACCCAGTAAGCAGTATATTAAGGGACAGTGCATAAAAGATCTTTTATTTAAGCAAATAAGTTTTCCAAAAAGAATCAAAATATTCATTAAAGTCATATTATGAGTAGAAAGTGACCGCCTTATATAATATATACCTTTGATCACTTGAGGCACTGGGAATTTCAGGAATTTTTCACCATCTGTTCGGAAAAGTTCCTTGATCGTCTCTGCAGGGATGTTATCCCTTACAGATTTTAGTATACCCTCAGGCAACTCTATTCCTCCTTCATAGAGTTTAAGAACATCTTCCAAGCTGTCAAAATGTTTTTGGGGGCCAACAAGTATAGATGCTAGTTCATCAGGCCTAAGGAGCTGAGATATGGATTTCAGGGCATAAGCAATCAAGTCTGACATCTTTAAGTGACCAAACCGTTCATCTCTCGGAACATATATCAATAAGCTCAAAAGAAGCATCATCGGGGTCTCACTTTCAGGATCTGTTATGATGAAAGAAGAAAAGTCTTAACAATAAATCTTTCTTCTTGAATACTTTCACAGCAATAGAGATCCATATTCCTTGTTTGTCACTATTAAAGATTGAAAAAAAAATTACCAAGTTTTGAGTAGTGACTGGGAAATGAAGTTAATTGACTGACCTTCCTTAGTTGGTCGTCTTCCTGTTCTTCCCCTCCGAGGATAAGGGAACTTACTCGAGCCACCGAGAATAGGACGGGCATATTTTGGACCCTTATGCGGTTTCCCCAAATCATTATAGTAGGCATAGCCATAAACCCTGTCCCATTCCTGAAGTTCTGTTTCATCATCATCATCTCCTCTCAAGTTTACTAGCTCTTCTTCTCTTAATTTCTTTAGTGGCCCTGGTGTATAACTTAAAAGATATGTCTGCACAAATATATAGTTTAATTTGTAATTGAAATGACCCTTCACAATATTACCAGCACAACATAGCAGTCTATCAGCAAAATCAGTGTGTTTTTCACCTGTACTTCACTCTTTAAGAGAAAGTTACATTAATTCTTCAACTGCATTAGAAGTAAGAACTTTATGCTTTCATCCTATAAATATACCTTGTTAGCGAAGAAAACACGGTCTTTTTTGTAGTTTTTAGCAGGATACACCCATGAGTTGCAGACAAAGTGGATTCGACCTTCTCCAGGAACATCTTCAAGTGTGAGAGTCTTCAAGTAAAACTCACTGTGATGATCATTTCTTATTATGAATGCTCCTGGGACTCCAATCTCCTCATCCCAATCAAAAGTAACCTCAAATGTACACTCCTCTGCTGTTAAGGGAGTGATTGTGGTAACCCAATCTTCTAAATATGCTGGCTTTCCAACTT